TTACATGTTGTTTACATGTTTGAATATCTCAGTGAGTAATCATTTCTAATAAGAAGATGATGTGTGAATAATTGTTTCTAATAAGAAGATAATGAACATTTTTCTAGTGTAAGAGGTCTATGCTGAATAGATCAGTATAATATTGATAGGTCTTATATAACAAAGAGAAAAATGTTAGAGAAGGAAAAGAAAGAGAAAGTATGAGAATCAGCAATTGAAGTGAATATTTATATGCATATGTAGTGACATATGCAGTGAAGCTTCGGGGCGGAAGAATCTATACATGTTTGTGACAGCTGAGAATCGGTGATTGAGAATGACTGAGAATCAGAGTGTACATGTTTGAGAATAAAGCAGTTGAAATCTGTGAGGTGTAATCTGTGAAGTATAACGGAATAGTCTATATAATTAATCGGGCGCAGCCCGCCACATCTTTGTATATACTAGAACAGAGGCATTTCTTCTGCTTTATCTGAACTCAATTGAATTTAGTTATACAGGCTCTTTTCTCAGTTGACTAGAGTTATAATCTTCTAATTCATTTTTGAGAAGTAGCATTTCTTCTTCACAGTCAAAAATTTCAACTGAAATATTATGAAGAATGAATTTGTCTTACTTTTCATCTCTCTTCTCTTAGATAGAATTGTTATATTTAACAAAGATTTTACTACTGATTTTCTGAGATTCTCACTCTGAATAAGAAATTCTGCACTGAATTCAGACATTGTAGTCAGAATGATGAAGTTTCTAAAGAAGAATGACTTAATTGAAGTTATAACTGATTTTTGAACTTTAATATTAGTTATTAACTGAGAAAAGAACTGCTGATTAATTTCATTTCTAATTCTGAAAATGAGATTTGAGTTTAGCTTGTTTCTTTACAAGATGTTCTGATTTGAGACTTTGAGAATAAGTCTTCTATTTCTGAAGATTTGAAAGTTTTTCTCTTTTTACATTTTTTTCTTCACTTTTCTATGAATAGAAGTATGAGCAGTATTCTTCTCAGTTTTCTCAGAATTTTGAGTAGATTTTGAGATAGCAGATTCAGAGACATCAGATTCAGCTGCTTGAGTACATATTTTCTTCTGATTTAAAGAAGAAGAAGAAGTAGAAAAAAAAGAAGAAAAATAAGATAAAGAGTCAGTGATTGTACTAGAAATTTTCAATGTTTTTTAAACTGTGTTTGAAATTGCAAGTTTGAACTTGATCATCTTCTGTAGTTGTCTAGTCTGAGTATGAAGAATTAATAGAACTTCTTCATTTATCTCACTCAGACACTGCTTTTCAAGAATCTTACTTGCTTTTTCAAGTTTCTGTATTTTAAGAACTTATTATTTCTCTATTTCTTCTTTCTTTCTTCTCTTCAGAATTTCAATCTCAGAAATAGCATTTGAGAAAGCATCTTTTTTCATATCAACTGAGTGTATTTTTGAACTCATTATTCTTACTCAATGAAAAGTTAATCAGACTGTTTCAATTGAGATATTTATTAAACTCTTTTGAAAAGTTGATCAGACTGTTTCAATTAAGAGATTTCTAAGTCTGTTTTCAATTGAAAAGTTAGTCAGACTGTTTCAAAAGAAGAATAAAAGACTTTTATATATAAAACATCTGATTTTTTTCACACTAGTTCAGTAACTAGATTAGATTTTTGAAGAGAATCTAATAAACTAAAATTGATTTTTAAGATAAATCAATAAAATCTTTACAATCTCTTTCTTGAGATATAGTGAGAAAAATTATGATATCAATTGATAATAAATCAGATAATATGACAGTTTTTGAGAGAAAAACTGATAGAAAATGAATTAAATTTTTGCAGAGAAATTGATTAAAACTATTCAATTTTATTCTAAATTATTCAATCCTTCTCACATAACAAGTATGCAACTTCAATCAGTTAATAAAGAGTGTAAAAAAGAATTAAGTATTAATAACAGCTCTTCAGTCACTGAAAAAGTAATTCTTACTTAAAAGAATGTAAAATTATAATAGAAAACAACTCTGTTTTTAATTCTTTATAAGAATATTATATAAAATTCAGAGAAAAATATCTTACTTTTTCAAGAGAAGTAAAAAACTATTTCTAAGATTTTTTTTTTTTACATTAACTGCTGCAGAAGAATGAGATAGAAACTGCTAAGATATACACTACTATATACTCTCTATCAAGACTTTCTCTCTTCAGAGTCTTGATATTATAAAGAATATAAGTCTGTTTCTATATAATAATATAAATATTATTAGCAGAATGTAGAGAAACTGATTATTTATATCTTAAAATAAAAGACTTTGTCAATAATTATATTAATATAATGTTAATTCTCAAATTCAATAGAAATCTAGTATTGCTGTTCTCAATCTCTTGCAGAATCTATTGAATATTGAGATATTAAAACTAGATTTAATATATCTCACTGTGCAGAGATCAAAGACTCAGTCAGATCTTAAGATATACTGATTTTATAGTTATTATATCTGCTCATTATGTATTAAATACAGTTGTCAAGATATCTTTTTGTATTTTTCTGTCAGAGATGAGTCAGATTGAAAAGAGCAGTATGTGAGTGAGACTTGATATTGATGTTTTGAAACATTAAAGATAGACAGGGTTTTTGTGAAAGTTACTTCTCAGATATCTTTACAATTACAGATCAGAGATCTTTCAAAATCAAGAAGATTGATGCATATGACTAGGTCTCTTCACCTTACAATTTGTATGACACTTAGGCCCGGAGTTATGGTGTGGTAGAGATGAATGAGGGATAATTCTACACAGAAGTTTTGAATAATATCTGATTCATATTTGGCTGGATAACTCCACTATCACACGGGGTATGCAGTTGGTGATGAAGTCAAAATGCTTGTATAATCAAGAGCTTTTTGATGGATCTATCAGCGGGTTCTTATTCGAAAAATTGAGCGAGTTCGTAGTGAAGCGCTTGAACTACCTGATCTTGCTTATCAGTTACATAAGAATCTTACAGAAAAATAATTGAAGATTAATTAAAACTCTTCAGATTGAAAGATATAAGATGAATCTGTATAATAATTACATAAGAATTTTACAGAAATGATTGAGAGTTAATTAAAATTCTCTGAAATGAAAAATATAAGATGAATATATATAATAGTCATAGAAAGATCTGCAGATTACAAAGAATTTTATAAAATAAAAAATTAAATAATAAACTCTTTTTTCTTTACAGTAATAAGAGATTTTTTCTCACTGAGGTTTTTTTATAGATATAAAGAATTTTTAGTAAGTATTATTACAGTGCTAAGTCTGATTCTATAAAATCACTCAGTGAAAGATTTTATAGATAAAGTCTTAGAGAGAAAGATATATATAAAAAATCTTACTTTTTACAGATTTTTTACTTCTCTTTGTATCTCTTATATAATTAATAAAGTTACTTGACTATATATAACTATATAAACTTAAGTTTGTAACTACTATTTATAACTTAGCTTGAATACTATTATATATTTAATCTCTATATTTATCTTTCTACTGTGAATACTTCTAGTAGCTATCAGTACATATTATGTCAAGTTATAAACATCTGAATAATCATCTGTGAGTAGACTAACTATGTGATTATATTTGAGATCAGAATCAGAATATTTAATAGTTTCATTATTAATTTAACTAATCTCATTACACAGTTTTAAGATTAGATAGTTATTATTATTATTATTATTCTTTTATTATACTTATATACAAGCAGAGCTTATGATGAGTTCTTGCATGATGTTAAATACAGGTTAAGTATTAATTATATAAAAGAAAATACAGGTGTTAAGATCATATCAAGATAATAAGAACATAGAAAATATAAAGAAGTAATAATTAAATACATACAATAATAACTTCTCATCTCAGAAACATAGAGTGATTTATTAAAGTGATTTGTATATCTCTGTATTTATTAAAAATCTGAGATACTTGAGTTCTGAATTTAATGTATTCTCTGCGAGTTTCAAACTTATATGCCTTGATTTCTTATATTAAGACACTATCAGGTAACTGTATTAACTATTCAGTTATTAAAATAAGATTAGATAGTAATCTTGTACTATTTCAGTAAAACTTACTATCTACTCTTATTACATTTTTCAAATAAGATTATGATTTTTACTTCTTAATTTAAACTATTTTTATTACTTTAAATAACTTTAAATCTTATTTAAGTATTATTAAAAAGTGTTACTTTTTAAAAAATTTAAAAGTATTACTTTTTAAAAAATTAAAAATAGTGTAAAAAAAATCTTAAAATATCTAAAAATAGTAACTTTATATTAAGAATAAGACTAAATGAGATTAAATAAGATTACTTTCTTATTTTTTCTAAGTTATAATTTCATTTTGAGATCTGATATATAGTTACTTTGCATATTTTTTTTAATAATTAGTCTCAGCAGAATTCACATTAAGAAATGTATAAAATCAGATTAAATAAGATTAAATATAAAATTTATAATCTTAGTGATTAGTCTATCTATGAGCACTTATTCTTATAGTAAGAGTTACTTAATAGTAGATTGAAAAGAAGCTTAGAGATATAAGAAAGACTCAAGAGTAAAAAAAGAAGAAAGAATAAGCTACTGTACAGTAGTAATCACAGTTATATAAGAAAAAAATTAAAGAATTCAAAAGTTATCTTTTTAATCAGAAAAGTAAATTCTTGATTTTATAAAGAGCAACTAAATCATGTTTTCAGAGCTCTGTTAGAATGCTTATAAATTCACTGTCAGAGAAATCTGATAATATTATAATCTCTATTAATTTATTAACTTCTTACTCACTGAATCTATCTTCATTCAAGATTTTATATTTCAGATGAGTTATTAAGTTAAATAAATATCTACAGAATTAGCTGTATATTTTTATATGTAATTTTCTATATATATTTTCATCATATAATATATCATCTTAAAATCTAATTGTGTTGTTAAGATATCATTGAAAATATTTCATCATAGTAATGGTGAAATGGCGGGTGTTGAGTGTAAGCGGGCGTTGAGTGGTTGATCACGTTATAGTTTCATTCTAAGCTCTGATTTCTAGTCACTTTTCATATTTTTTTTAATGATTAGTTCTGATGAGACTTGCATCAAGAAAGGTATGAGACCAGATCAAATGAGATCAAACATGAAATTTATAATCTCACTGGCTTGCCTACTTACCTCCTTCAAAATCATAAATTATAAACTATGTAAATCAAGCAAAAACAAACACAGGAGAACCATTTCATACAGCGAAAAAAAAAAAGAGCAAATCTCTCATCTACTCCCTCTCCACATCATAATTCTGATGCCACGTATACCCGCCCCGCGGCGCCGCCTCCTTCACCAGCTCCTCGATATACCCCAAGCCATCCCGTGGCGGACGGCCCAGCAGTTCCCCCATAAGCGGGCTCACCATCTCCGCCTCCCCCTGGGCCGCCGCATCCAGCAAAGTACCCCATACCTCGAAGAACTCCGCCGATTTCCCGCCATGGCCCTCCTTGGCGTCCTCGGCCGCCACGAGCGCCGCATACTCTTCCCGCGGGATCTTCTGCAGAGTTACCTTCTTGCCCGTGGCACGCGTGAGGGCCTCGGCGAGATCTGCAAAGGTATAGGCGCGCGGTCCCGTGAGGAGGGCGATGTTGTTGTCGTGGCTATTTTGGAGGAGGGATGGGAGGGTGGCTGGGTCACGCAGCATGAGTTTTGCGTTGGCTTCGCCGAGCTCGGTGCGGGAGGTCCAGGCGATGGCGCAGTCGGTAGGGATGTAGATGGTGGTTGTGTCCGGGTACCAGGAGGCGAAGACGGGGAAGGCGTCTGCGTAGATGCCTTCGCGGATGGAGGTGTAGGGGATGCCGGATCTGGGGGATGTTAGTAAGGAGTGTATAGGGAAAATGGGGGCGACTAGTACTTTTTCAATTGCTCTTCTGTGATTAAATGAGCTGTCTGCACGACGGCCTTTGAATGTGATCCGTAGCCGCCAAATGCGAGGCTGGAGTAGTATACCTATTACAGAACCTCACAGAACAGGTAAGTAAGCTAAGAATTGTTTTGGAGTAAATTCTATAGATTCTTAGGACCAAGGATGGAATTAATAAAAAAGAAATTCATACATGGCCGACACCAGCCCTCTTCGCCGCCTCGATGACATTTGAATGCTGCTTCGCCCTCCTATCCACGCTTACAACGGGGGTTGAGACGAAGAACAGTCGCTCGACACCTTCAAAGGCCTTCTCCAGCGCCAGTTCGTCGTCGTAGTTCACGACGCGGAACTGGGTGCCTGGGTAATCTTGCTGGAGTTTGGCAGCGGCTTCGGCACGGGACGAGCTAGCTATGATCTCCGCCGGGTTGTCGACGGATTTGTAAAGCGTGGCGAGGACAGAAGCACCTAGGCCGCTGGTTGAGCCTGTAATGAGGAACTTTGCGGGGGCCATTGTTCTATGACGCTTGTTGAAGGGATTTGTATATATGATGATCTATCTATCCGCCGCCAGAGAGTTGTATCGGTATCAAGGGAGCGGAGGAAGGGAGAAGGAAGTAGGAAGTGATATCCAGCCATTGAAGGAGCGGAGAGCGACATCTTTATGCATGGAGTGATTCACTTTTGTAACTATCCTGCTGCTTCACCTTGATTGTTTTCTTAACTCCGTTGGTCTTTCTCAAAATTAAACATACCATAGACCATAGACAGTAGTTAATGTAATATCAGCCACAGGCACTAACTAGTTAGGCGCTAGATGATTTGTAAGCGCCTGTAACTTATAAGTTAACTAACTACTATCTATCTCTTTATATTCACAATTTTTAATCAATTTATCCAATGAAGTTATATTTAATATTTATAGATTAATTATATTTTAAATAATTTCTGTGTCTTTTTTTTATAAATTTAATAGTATTAATATAAATACTTTTTATTTTTACAATATTAATTACGTTTTATTGACCTCTTCTCCATTCTATTATTACAAACTGTAGGCTACTGGGGCAAAAGAGCTCAAGTCACCACCAGCGCACTGCTGGTAGAAGGGCCGATCAACCGCGGGACCCCCAACAATTACAAACTGGAGACTGCGCGATTAATAATCAATCCCAGGAACATTCCGAGGTTTCTCTAGCCTTCTTTTGAGCTGACGGCTTCAGCTTGATAGATGATGTAGGGGCTATGTCCGCCAGCAGCAGATGGGTTTAATCATATAGGTAACTAACTACATATCAGATGCTATTATCCAGGCTGAATGACTGAATAATGTATCCGAGCTGGTATTTTCAGGGTTTCTTTTTATCTTTTATTCTTTATATATCTTATATAATATATATTTGCATCTATCACTATGGCAGGCAATCAAAGCGAGGGGGAAAAAAGGAAATGAAATGATGAGACCACCGCACACTAATCCCATGCCTGATTGATAATCACTTCACTTCACAGCAGTGATCAACAGTATGTGGTCCAATTCCCTTCTTGTTGATGCAACTCTAGTTGTGCTGTAATGCAAGTTGGTGTGGAGTCTTCGGGATGAGGGGCAGCAGTCAAAGGGGTGCGAGAATTTACAGCTAATGCTGTCACTAAAAGGCGGGGCAACAGTGAGTAAGTTAATGCCGATGTCTACCAGCTGCCTGAAGGGATTATCCACGGGTATCGCGTATCAGGGCTATTATTATATACAAAACCGTCCGTTACAAGACAGACCTACACTATAACTAGAAGCCGTAGACTTCAATCCCAACACTTAAGACATCTATCTTTCTAGCTTCCTCCTCCCATCACATCCTGCCATCCTAAATACACAAGTAAACATGGCCTCCCACCCGCCAGGCGCTTGCTGCACCCGCGGGTTCAAGCACAAGGGAATAGCCTCGGGCGAGATCAAGAAAATTAGCGACAGTATGTATATAAAACCAATCAGAAAATTAAAGCATACCAGCATAATAAAAATAAAGTTACTAACAACTCACCCCGACCGGCCATCCAGTCGACACATACATCTCCCACCCCCCTGCCTCCGCCACGACCACCAAGCTAGAAAAAGCCATCATTATCTTCACCGACATCCTAGGTCTAGCCGACAATGTCAAACTCGTCGCGGACGACTTTGCCGCCCGCGGCTACCTGGTCGTGATCCCGGACCTATTCCACGGCAATGCCCTGACCATGAACCAGGTCATGAGTGGCATAGACATCATGGCCTGGCTGAAGGATTATACCACAGAGGCCGTCGACCCCATTGCGGCTGCGACGATTAAGTATGTGCGGGAGACGTTGAGCATCAAGAGGGTTGCGTCGGTGGGGTATTGTTTTGGTGCGAAGGTTTGTTAGGTTTATTTTTTATTTTATTATTATTATTATTTTTGTTAGTGGGGGAGGGGGGGTTGAATGGTTGTTGTATCTCTCTTCTAACAACTCTTCTCTATCTACCTACATGTATACATGTAGTACGCTACTCGATTCATGAAAGAAGGCGGAGGGATTGATGTCGGATACGTCGCGCATCCATCCTTCGTTGCGCCAGAAGAGCTGCGAGCTATCAAGGGTCCATATGCCATTTCCGCTGCTGGTAAGGAGATCCCCCACTCCAGCGCCTTAAAAAAAAAAAAAAATAAATAAATAAATAAATAAATAAAATAAAAAAAAAAAAAAAGAAAAAGAAAAAGAAAAAGAAAGCTCACCACAACAGAAACCGACACCATCTTCCCATCAAACCTCCGCCACGAGTCCGAGGAAATCCTCTCAAAAGTTGGCTTCCCCTGGCAAATCAACCTGTTCAGCGGCGTCCAGCACGGCTTCGCCGTCCGCGGTGACCTAAGTAATAAAGAGGCTAAGTTCGCCAAGGAGCAGGCATTTATTCAGGCAGCTACGTGGTTTGATGTGCATTTGTGAGTGGGGAGGGGGAGGACAAAGAGAAAAGGAGGGGGAGGAAGAAAGAGAGAGAGAGAGAGAAAAAGAGAGAGAGAGAGAGAGAGAGAGAGAGCTATATGCGTCCCAGGCCCGGTATAGAAACAAAAACGGGTGTTGTTAGTTCGGGATTTACCGATGAGAATGCTTCTGTTATATACCATTGCGTTAACCTGCAGATATTATCGAAATGACGGGTAGCTAGCTACGTAGTAGCTCAGGGAATTAATTTCCAGACGCTACTCCCCTATCCAAGTTCTAGTTATAGGTCCTTCCAATCCGTAATCTAGTTCTCAGTTGGCTGTCCGAAGCTGGCTAGCACCATGTTAGGCGCTTGGGGTCCAGATCGAGCTCGAATCTAATAAAACACTCAAAGTCTGTTGTATTCCCAGACGAGCTGTTCCAAATTTGCACATATGCATATATAATGTTGCCTTGTACCCTCAACGTCCACGGCGCTTTACCCGCCCCTTCGGGGAACGAAGGTTATGCCTCTTCTGATAGTTAAGCGTGGCGTAAACAAGCTCACTAAGCCGCTTTTGTGTTTTAGCCCCAACCTTAACATGACCTCACTACATTTACTCCTGCCCCCAACCACATGAAAAACAAAGGGTGTCTAGCTATGGAAATTTCAATCTCAAGGTAAGGGAAGGGTCATAAAGTAATAAAAAGCATTTAGAACAAAAGCGGGTAACGCGAACCATTGCCCGATTGTTTAAAAAACAGAAATTCGTAATAGTCGGTCTCAAAATAAAAATTAAAAAAAAAAGGAACAATTAAACACCTCATCCAATAATTTCCTCCGTCTCATCAATAATTTCCTCCATTATCTCTTCCACCACCGTTCCCTCCGTCTCCTCCTCTTCAGTAGCCACCCCAGCTACACCCTCCTCCTTATCCAGACCAAGTACCTCAATCTCCTCATCCAGCAGCTCCTTCTCCCGGCGTACCCAGGCAGTCCATTCGTTAAGGACTCTCTTGCGCATCTCGACAATAGCCGTGTTAGCAATGTCGACGGCATATTTGTCCTCCTCTTCGAACTCGCGCGAGTACTCGCGCAGGTTCTTGCGGACCTGTTTCTGCTCCTCCTTGCTGAGGAAGGTTGGGGGACGCGGACGCCACACGAACTGCTTGAATTTCTCCGTTGGGTGTTCGGCGATTGTGGTGCCGGAGAATGTGTGGATGTTGTAGCCGTTTTCCATCTATAAGACGTTTGTTAGTGTTTTTTAGAGTATCTCTTTTTGTGTTTCTTAATCATTAAATAGGCAAGGATGCAAAACTTACAGTGTGAGTCCAGGCGCTGGCGCTGCTGACAACATAGCGGCCGGTTGGGTCCCACTCGACGTCAGTGATACCGTAATGCTCAGCGGTCTTCATTAGTTGGAGGTTAGCAGAAAGGTCCTTCTCGCTCTCTTGCTTCTCGCCCTCGAAGTCAAGGTCCCAGAAATCGAGGTCGAAGCTTTGTTGTACGTGGACGGTGGCAACAACCACGAACCGGCCCTTGGGAGACCAATATATGGCATTGCTGGTCTTCTTCTCGATGGTACGGATAAGTCTGAAATTTCCCGTGCCAGAACCCTTGACTTTCTCTGGGCAGAAGAATGAGACAGCAGTCTTGGAGGCAACTCCGGCATTGGGAGACGCTTCGGGCGTCGTAATGAGTACGAATCGATCACCCTTGGGCTCCCAAGCGAAGTTAATAACGGTATCTTTTATAGAGTCAACCACTTCAACAGGCACGCCCTTCTCCTTGACACGGAAAATTTCGAGGTTCGTGGCGAGGGATTTCTTTGACTTGGAGTGTCGATCGACCTTGACGCAGACGTATGCACCCAGTGATTGCCAATGGAGCTTAACGTCGGAAACGTTGAACAGGTTTCTTGTCCGGACAATTTCCTTGGATGGGATACTCATCAAACCAACTTTCGCTGGGTTGCTGCCGATTTCCGGGGTCCAGAAGGAAAATAGCTGTTCGTACTGTCTGATTCCATCGCGTTGGGGGGTGGCGGGAGCCCACTCGAAGTCAGTGACTCCATCAATTTTAATAGATGTTCTATCTAGGAGGTTCATGCGTGGCAGTTCGTAGACGGAAATAGATTGACCCAGAAGCATTCGTGCAACGTATTTCTCATCCGAAGACCACTTGAACGTAGGCCATGGCATCTTCTTCTTCACAACCTCTCCCTCTGGACCAGCGGCTGCAGGAACGTCATGGTTGACAAAAGACCGCAGCGGCTTGCCAGTTGCGATGTCCCAGATAATGAAATGTTTCCCATCCTCCTCGTAGGAAAGAACTGGGTGAGGCCCTTCGATTTGAATCGGCCGCGGTGACCAGGTTGTCAAGTAGCTTTCACCGGGGGAGAAGTCAATAAGCTGAACGAATGGATGGGGGAATTGTTTTTGTTTGGTAAATTGGGGTCCTCCCCAGAGTTGTACGCCTTGTGGATGCACGGATGCAAGGAAAGTGCCTTGCGGAGACCATTGTACGAAAAGCTGTGTCCAGTGTTCCCGGTCAACGATATTCTCCGGAGGATCCTTTTTCATATTCCAGAACACGCCAACTTTGTCTCCGCGGAACATAACAAACTGGTCACGGGCATTAGGATCACCTAGCCATGATCGAAGGTGCTCCTTCTCTTGGAATGGCTCGATGGTGGGTGGTTTATATTCCTCGTCAATGCGGCCCTCACGTCCATACCGATCGATATCCGTAAGTTTGTTAACTGCCAATGTGTGCTTTCTATCCAGGGGAGTGCCGTGGAGATGTTTTGTGGCCTCGAGGGCCTGTTCGGGAGATTCGTATTCGACAAAAGCAAATCTGAAGATCATCAGGGAGGAACAGGAATTAGTTTGTTTATTCTTCATTGAACAGGTTTCCCCCGCTCCGTTTAGTTCCTCGGTGTTATATAAGTCTGAACGCACCCTTCGGACATCTTATTCTCGTTCACGGGCATGAAAATGGCATCTTCGCGCGTCCGACCAACGGTGTTCAATTTTTTCAGCAAGAATTTCACGAGCCGCGGCTTGCTCTCTTCGGGCACGATTGGTAGCCCATCGATAACGACAAAGGCATCCAAGCCCTCCTCCAGCCTAACTTCATATTGCGCCTTAAGATCTGTTTGCAAAACGTGATTAGCGGGGAAACATGGAATTTCATATTAATAGACCCCCCCCCCCCAAAAAAAAAAAAAAAAAAAAAAAAAAAAAAAAAAAAAGACACCAATCCTGCTCTGGGTCCTAACGAAATCCCGAGTGGAAAAAAAATACACACCTGAAAAGTCAATGTCCAGCTCCTCCTCGTGGAGATCCTGCTCTGAAAGGGTGTCGAAACTCGGTGCCATGGTGATAGAGGACCGGTGTATGGGAGGAAAGGTATACAGAGAAAGCAGGCGATGAGCAGCGACTGCGGGTTTTCACGATCACGACGCCTTTCTTCCTGAGGTCGTCTTGCATTCGCCTCAAGTCGATTCGGGCAAAATGTGTGTGTGCCAAAGAGCGCCATACCTAAATTAGCCCTAGTCCAATATCTGACACTGACTAAGCGGCTGGGATCACGTGTTTTTCGCTGACACATGTCTGACTCATCATTTCAGCCTCAGGCTCCTGTCCGGCTCCAGCCTCGGATATTTTAAGCATACTATACTATGCTGCGCACTCGCAATCTTTCCCGCCTCCAGAGCTTGCAGAACACTCCAGCTCTAACTACTAACCACAACGGCTGAGGGAGCTTCTAGATATTACTGAAGATGCATACTAGTTCTCTGAGTGAAATTCTCTTTCCATAGTTACTTTCCTCCTGAGTTTTCTTTATCGCTGTACCCCGTACTCGCAGCTCCAGGCCTATCCTAGCTTATTATTAAGGACATACTCCGTACATACTCCGTATATAGTAGTAGTTATATACTCCGTACTTCCATGCTTTGGGGCACTAGTAACTAACCCGCCCTAATCCCGTCCGCAGCCAACCAAAAGGCCCTTTTCTACTAATTATCCGCGCTGCATCAAGCATCCCGCCGCTTTGGTTCATCCACCCGCTCTTCCTTCATTCTCCTCGGTAACTCCCTTTTTGTTTTCCGCCTATAAAACAATTGTGTGTTTCATCTCCTGCTCCTTCTACTATCCTACTCTTGATTCCTCTCATGTCTCTTTGATATTCCATATTTCTTTATTTCTCAGGTCCTTCTTAAATTCCATCACTTATTGCTTTTATACTCTATGCATCCAACATCTTCTTAAGTTCTTATTAGATACTACTAGCTTGCCAGCCACTCGTCCTCCACTCATATTGGCCAATCTTATTCCATAACTTACTTTTCTGCTCCAAGTACCGTACCGTACCCCGCCAGCCCGAGCAACCGCCAGCAAAGCGCACTAACGCTTTCTGGCGCTACTTTTGATCCCAGCTTTTGCCGCGACACTCTGTCAGGGCACCCACCTGACCAGCTCATATTGGACTCGTTCCACCTCCTGCTACAGCTCCAGCTGCACCGGCGATTAATTTCCTAAATATCTCTTTTACATTTCAACCAGCTGGGAAGCTTCAACGTCTTCAGGGCTATTCTAGGCTCGCAAACATGGAGTGTAAGATATCCCGAGCTGACTTGCCGCGCCAATGACACATGAAGCAATTAATGACATCAACGCTGACTTTATTCGGCCAATGCAGTGTCCGACGACGTTCAAGCGTCATATATCAAAATCATCGACTCCATCCTTGCTACCAGTGACTTGAATACTATATCGGAGAAGCGCATACGGAGAGGCTTGCAAGATGCCGTCGACTACGATATCACCCCTCACAAGGTTGGCTGGCTGGCTGCCGATCCTGACTTTTCTCAGATCCCCCTTGGCGGCTATGTTTCTGACGCGTTTATGATTACAGGCCGCGATCAAACTTCTAATTATGCAGCGCTTCGATATCTTTGCGGAACAGAGTGAGAAGCAGGCGGAATCTACCTCCCCCGTCAACGGCCATTCGTCGAATGGTCAACTCAACGCCCCAACGGTCGAGCCCATCTCCCCCGCCCTATCTACCTCCCCGCAAAAACGCAGCGCAGAGCCTGAAAGCGCCTCAGATCCCGGAGATAAATCTCCACCCAAGAAGAACAGAAAGTCAGACTTAGAACTTGCCGACGCGATCTTGGCGGCCAAATTGCAAGCCGAGGAAAATCTACGAGCGCGACCTACCAGAGGCGCAAATTCGAGGAAGGCTGCGCCTATCAAGAAAAAGAAACCTGCTACGAAGTCAAAGACATCAAAGAAAGTGAAAGCGGAGGACGATTCAGACCTAGATGAGCCGGATTCGGAACCCAAAAGGGAGGTCACGCGAACGGGTGGTTTTCATGTGGGTTTTCAAGGCCTTCCACCTTATAGCTACTTCAACGACATATTGACTTTCACCCCTAAAGAAACCCCTCACGTTATCCCCTACGCTCTCTACCCTTCTAGGCGGTGAAATAACGGTGAGTATTTTCTCCTCTAGATATTACCCCTCACTACTCTTGTTCGAATATCCTCCTAACATCACACAGCTTTCTCGACCTCAAACTGTGAAAAAGGTGTGGCAATATATACGCGAAAACAGCCTCCAAGATCCATCTGATCGACGCCAAATCCTATGCGATGACCTCATGCGAGCGGTCTTTAAACAAGACCGAATACACATGTTCACAATGACCAAGATCCTCAACCAGAACCTGTATAACCCTGACGAGTAAAAATTCAAATAACGTAGCCCCACGACCAAGAATAAGAAAGGCTCCCTTTCTTATCGCCAATTCATATCCTCATCATCATTATCATAATCCGGCGTTTATCTGGCAAACGGGGGAGTCATTTGCACATCCTTCTTTTAGTTTTAATTCCCCCCTTTTATAATCTGCCATCAGGTTACCCATTGTGCCATAATGCCGTGAAGTCAAATCATCCCTTCATCGCTTCCGTTTCTTTTTTACTGTTTACTTTCTTCTTTCGCTCTCTGTTCTTTTCTTTTTTTTTTTTCTCCTTTTGGTTTTATATTTCCTCATTCTCATCCTAAGACATATACCATGCAATATATTTGCTTTGCTATCCGCCCACTTTTTCTCTTATCCTATGTTAGCCGCCTCTCTGTATCTTCCCAGTGAAGTTCCTCGTGCATTATCTTTTGGCCGTTTTGTCAGTTTCCTAACTATTCACTACAAGAGGTGTGGTGGGATCACTCATTCTACAAATTTTCTTTTATGGGAACCCACTGAATATGTTTTAAAGCATTCTGATTAAGTGGTTTCTTCCGAACCGAGAACACTCTCCGCGCGGCCTTGCAAGATGATCTAGGAGACTATCTTCATGCTCGTTTCTCTCCTTCATCCCTTCCTTTACATTTTTTATCATTTACTTACCATATCTCGCTCCAGCGGGTGGAGTTGGTTGGTGGGAATGTCCCTTGTTTGTGCTAAATGGATATGAAACTCTCAGTTTGTCATGTTATCTATTTCCACACGCCTTCATTTGGGATTCTCGGTTGTCTTCTGCTTCTCTATTTCATTTTTTTGATCTTGTTGTCTCTTTATCGTTTTGTCTCTCCTATACTCCTCACGTCGGAGCCTTTGGATTTCCAATTTCTTGCGTCAGCTTTCTTGCTTCTGCCTCTTCTTCTGCGCTTATTATTTCCAAGCCGTACCTCTGTTTCCTTCACTGCGTCTTTGGCTTCTTTAAATCTCTATTTCTAGCTGTTGAATCTACTCTTATTATTGGTTGCGCTCTATCACTACCATCTGACTATCCTCAGCCAACCAACCCTCCTTTCCCTTTTGTGCATTCGCCCTCTTAAGATTCTTAATGCTTATGACCGGCTTTCATTTCGCAATATTGTCTCTTAATGTCTTCTACACATCTTAACTTTTGGGAACATACAGACGTGTCTTCTCTCTCCCTCTTTTTCTTTCCTGCATTCCTCCCTTTTATCCGTGGAGAAGGAAAGAAGATAGACATGAACAAGGAGAGAAAGGGGAGAAAAGCGGGAACAATACATGAATAAATACATCTGTCTAATATGTCTAATATACCTGCATTGCCTAAACATTCATCTCTTCCGGCCCGCTCTGGGACTTTGTCGGGTTAATCAATACTGGGCCGAAGGAAGCACTTGCTAAAAATTCTTCATCTATTAGTAGATTCCGCCAGTGAGAGCAAGCCAAGCAGCTGTTTCTCCACGATGGATGGGCGAAGACATATATATGCCTTAGGCAGATCAGGGCATACCTAGATACGAATGACTGTCCAGGCGAGATACTCCCCTAAAAAATTGATACAGCAGCTCACTACATTAATTTGCCCAACATCGCATACTCCTAACGAAATCCTTTGTCAACTGGTTAGAAAACTCATCTACAAGCAGAAGGGACCACCATAGGCACCTAGTATGTCAGAAATGCGATGTTGATGGAAGATAAAGGAACCTTTTGTATTGCTAAGTCAGGCATCAAACACGGCATGCCCAGGTTGGACCTTGTGAATATGTCGTATCTGTGTCATTCCTCTTGGTGATGATAGACTATTATGATTTGTTCACACCAGTAACTTACTTTCTTTTCCCCTTGTTACAGCTCTTTGTTCACTGTAGCTTCTGTACAACCAACCCGGTGCTAAAGCAATGTGTCAAGGGACATATTCAACCCTGTTGGGTTTGGGGTAGCTAGCGCTCGAGGAAAACTTCTAGGTTGATGTGATGTGGGTTTTATTCTTGCCTTCCCCCTCTCTATAGATATCGTCCTCATGTTTCAAGGGTGGAAGGCCGATTCAATGAACACTGAACAGTTTCAATGTTGTTTCATAACCTGATTCACAAAGGAAACAACAAGAAGCTACAGTTCTTAACCAGAATGTCTATAGAAATGGAGCGTCGAGTATAAAAGCATACAAGTCTCTCTCCAACCAGATATTGTGAAGCGTATCGGAATCTGAATCTTTTTTTTAAAAAAAAAAAAAAAATCTCGTTTGGACAGGCTTCGAAGAAATATTAGGGATACAGACGTCGCTCTGCAACTATTGAACCGCCCTCGCTTTCGAAGCTCTCCGGGTCTATTTCAGCAAATACTTTAAACTGGTTTTAATTCCCCTATTTTTAAATCCGGGAACTGATATTCTAGTAAGTTTTACACATTCAGTCAGTCTACATAGGTTAGGCTAGTAGAATGAAGTTCTGAGTCTGATTTATCATACTACCATATCCAACTGACAAAACATGATAATATAATAATTAGTTCATCAAAGATGTGCGAAAACACCCGCTCGCAGTACCAATGCGAATTCAAGCACAGGCTTAACCAACTCATCCTATGCGATCAATTCAAGAATAAGCCCTCATACCAGCATTGCGCGATCGTACCAGCCGCTGGGAAGATGGTGGAGAAGTCCGGGTCTCAGTGTCCAGAATGCCACCCGCGGCTCCCAGCTGAATTGCAATGGACTGTTGGTCATAAGGCTGGGGCAGTTAGTATATAATTCATGAGATGAGTCGGATGAGGATCTAGCGGGACCTGCAGTAATGGTGTTCACAACACCATTTTCTCTTGTCTCCTTCAATTGTGGTGGAAATCGTTCCAATGAGAATTCCAGCTCAGCTTTGTCTCCTTTCTGCTTTGCATGCCTTTCTGCTAGTTATATGTATGACCGCTTGCCCTGATTTTTTTTTTCTTTTGTTTCTTATGCATGCTTTCTCCATAGATAGTAGCTTTCAGTATCCTCTCTAGCATGGTGTTGGTTTTCTTTATCACTTGCTGTTATCCTTCTATATCACAATATTCTTTGGCTTGTGTTTACTGCTGTACTCCGTAGTTTCAACAAGTTAGTTCATCATTCAATATGCAGCCACTCTTTTATTCATTAACAAATGGAATTCTATCACACGGAAACGTGTCAGTGGTAGGGACTACGGTAGCCCTTTGGAAAATCAAGGAAATCAAAGAAATCAAATGCCAATTTGAAACATTTCTATTTTATAGTATGTATTTATAAGTATATATAGGCAATCTACGATGGAAGACAGAAGGCGGATACAGCCAAGCTAGTAAGTAAACTTGCAAACATCTCCCGGCTTGGCAGGTTTGCTCACAGGCTTGCAAACCTACCAAACGAACCCAAGACTCTTGGCTGTTTTGCATAACACAGCTCTGACCTTGTTTCTGCATATAAAATCCACCAAATACGAACAGTTCTAGCTTATTAAAGTAGTAGAGATTGTATGCTTTGAAATCAGGTAGGTTATATATAATTTTTTAATCCATAGATATCAGGGCCAATGCGGAGAAAGATCCCGTGCCCGTGTGTGCGTAAGCTTAAATAGGAAGCGTGTGCTTCCCTTTTTCAAAGATGAAAGTAGATTTGATAACGCATTGAAGCAGAAGGCGTGTGTTTCTCCTTTCCCCCAAAAGCAAAAGGCCAATTGAAAAGAATACATCCAAAATGGCAAACTCACCGGTATCCGTCTTCGGCCTTGGAGCCATGGGCACCGCCCTGGCCACCCAATTCCTTCGAAAAGGCCACAAAACCACAGTCTGGAACAGGACCCCGGCCAAAGCACAACCCCTTATCGCTATCGGCGCATCCCATGCTCCCACAATCGACTCTGCCGCCGCGGCTAGCTCTTTACTCATAATCTGCCAACTGGATAAAGCCTCCGTCATGCAAACCCTCCAACAAGCCCCAACGGCATGGGCCGCAAAGACAATTGTTGACCTTACAAACGGCACACCAGCCCACGCCAGAGAGACGGCGGACTGGGCTCTCGCGCACGGGGCTCGATACATCCACGGCGGAATCATGGCCGTACCATTCATGATCGGCCAGCCTGATGCCATGATCCTCTACAGCGGACCAGCAGAGGTGTTCGAGGGGGTAAAGGATACCCTCTCCGTGCTGGGCACCAACACATACGTCGGCGAGGACGTGGGGCTTGCCTCGCTGCACGACCTGGCTCTTCTGAGTGGCATGTACGGCCTGTTCAGCGGCTTCACGCACGCCGTGGCGTTGGTGCAGTCCGCCAACATTCCTGCGGCAGGATTTGTTGCGACGCAGCTCATCCCCTGGCTGACTGCGATGACGCAGCATTTGAATCTGTTGGCGACGCAGGTGGATGAGAAGGATTACGGGGATGGCGGGTCGAGTTTGGACATGCAGGCGAAGGCTGCGCCAAATATATTGGAGGCGAGTCAAGCCCAGGGTGTTTCGGTGGAACTTATTCAGCCTATTTTCAAGTTGATTGAGAGGAGGGTTGAGGAAGGCAAGGGTAGTGAGGGGCTTGCTGCGCTTGTTGGGATGATCATGAAAGGGGGCACAAAGGACAGTGTGTGAAATGCGATAGACGTATATAGTAAGGCGATAGGGTTTAGGGAGAGCTGGTATAGAAGCTGTTTCCTGGCTTTTTTTTTTTGTCTACCAGCGGCCATATCACGTATCAATATGCATCATAGATGTACAAGTGAAGAAACTTTGTGCGTAGCCAGATATTTATCAACTCTCAAAAATGTTGGAGAAGGGAATTGGCTGATGAGAAAGCAAATATATTGGCCATCATCGCATGGATGGTAAAAGTGAATGTGTGAATCCTACTTTTTCGGGAAACGTAGTCCATGAATAATCAAAGGGGAATCGGGGATCCTCTGTGAATAAAGGTGTCCAATATGGGTGTAGAAGGGTACTGAACATGTTCATTATCAATCACTTCTACCAAATGTCACAGACATAGAACACAAGACAAGGGCTTATTGTTTCAACCTATTCAATGAGGCGATCTGTGAAAGAAAGTCAAAAACCGCAATATGATCCTCCGGTATGGTACATATGAATGGAGGCGAACAGAATTGGTACAGCAAGAAAGATGTATCGAGAATAGGATTTACTACCTCACTCACCAAAATCATTCACAGATTGCGTGTATCCAATTGACGCCAATGCGACGTAGAGACACAAAAATGTGTCCACCAGGGCCAACCACAACCAGCACAGTACTGCTATCCAAATATGAGGTGAATCAGGAATTTTGGGAAGAGGAGCGCACGAATGAAGAGCCTAGAAGTTCAGGTTACACTCTTCAAGGACCAGCTTTATTACAGTCAAACCAGTTCACGAACAGTCGAACTTCTGCGGATGCTGGTGCATCAAACCATTCATGTGTGGGCATGGAGGTGAGACCTGCGCGCGCGATACAGATGATGGCAACGTGAGAACGTGTGCGTGTGTGTGTATAGTAGTCTGATCAGCCAGCCCAAACCTTCTCTATCAGTAATGGATAAAGAAACGCCCAGCCAACTTCCGGATCCCAATTAGCAGTTGAAGGCTAAGATATTTCAGAGAGTTCAACTTGCTGGCTCAGATGATGGATTCTCCATGCCTCTGTCGGATACTTCAGGTGCTTTAGGATATTCTCGATGTTTGGATATCCCACCACAGCATGCATCGACGAAACGGACCGAAAAGCGCCCCCCAGACAGGCGCCCGAACTAGCCGTTGAAGAGGAGCAAAGGGAGTGCAAACTATGTATGTGCTCTGAGTACTGGACATTACCAACGCAGGCCGCAAGACCGGCTCCCGACGGAATGGGTGGTTTATGGATGGAGTACTCCGTAGAATGAAAGAAATCGAGGGCTGTACGATTTTCCTCTCGCCAATGATTGTCCAGAAGAGACAGTCACCGTTGCGCCAGATCGGAAACCCATGCACAGACTAATGCGAGGCCACATTCGGCACAATGGCACCCCGCAATGAGCGAAGAGTGCGAGCAGGATTGCTGGCACTCCGGCATTGGAACTGGACATCTGAATATCGAAAGTCTAAAAGGTAAGATGGCCGACCGAAAAGGAATGCATGCCTTCCGAAAACAAAGAGATCAATTTTCGGGACCGGAATTTTTTCTTGAGTCGGTGTGACGCTGCACGATAAGCTTGCTCAAAACTTTGTGTCAAGTATACACACTTATCTCGCAGTTACATATATAGTTTCTCACCAGATTGAGACCGTCCTGAAGAGGGTAGAATGGGCAAGGAATCAACCCCGGAAGCTCTCACGATTTGATGATTTATGACGGCGCAGAAGGATACATAGTTGGAGCCTCCGAGCTGGAAGTTTAGAGAGCCCTTCCGACATTCATGATATGCGTTCTCGGTGGTCTTGATTGAGACATTTGTGGCTGATGGAATTGCCGATCATGGAGCATCTCCTCGAGTCCTGTTGATGCGAACAGTTGAGAACGGGAGAAGCTAGTCAAAGCCCTGTCAGCCCCAAGAAAAACCAGCTCTTGAGATGGAGCGAAGGGGGACTTTCAGCCAGCCCTCGCCGAGCTCCTGGGACGAACAGCCCCTATCCCGATGCAAGATCTCAATCGCTGACTGGTCAATGGCCCTGATATTCAAAATTATCGGCGGGCCAGATTGGAGCTAGCAGAAGCGCTGTTATTTTTCTCCATTCAAAACATCGACGGATGTTTTACGCAAATGTTAACGTTATTTTCATCTTCGACTTTTAAGTTGACAGAGAAACGGCGTAATGGAAATAATGTTAGCAATGAGACGTCATCTATCTTCATGCAGCTAAGTTCTCCTGTCCCTTTGCGCCTTTTGCGGGGATCGGCAAAGCCGTGACTCGTGAGAACAAGCACAGACGTTTCCCAAACGTTTTCGACCAGAACCAGGAAGTATTTACGCAGTAGGTAGGTACATGATGCAAGGCCGTAATTCTTCGCATCCTTTCGCATCATGATGATGACTTTCCTCATCGGAGCAAAGTACGCAGTACACTATGGAAACAACTACCCCCCAGCTGATATTTTTGGTATGTCCTCAATTACAGACCGCGAGAATTCTCCGAACCCGATATGATATGTTAAGTTACCCTCGCTAGCTCTCGGTGGGTAGCCAGAGATTTCCAATAGTCGCATATCGAGCTCAAAACTAATTGTGGAACTCCGAATCACGTCAACTTGCCTCGTCTTGCCAGTCCGTGCCAGATGACACCAGCTGCAGACAGCAAGTCGTGGGCCCGTCGCCTGTGGATAATATTCCACGCTGATTTGTAGATGGATCTCTTTTTCGCACCTTACAGTCGCGCCGACTAAAGTCTATCCGGTAGAGAACCTTGCGCCACTTGGGAATTAAGCTGGTGTGCCCCGCGCGCTGTCCGCTGGGAGAACGCGCCAATCAACCCCAAAGACGCTGGCAACAGCTCAAATTTTTGGAAATATGACGGCTCACATTCCTATTTGTCTCCCCCAGCTTCTATCACCCTTGCTGCCTTGCAGCAGCGGAGGGCGAGCAGTGTCCACTCCACACCCGGGCTACCGAGGGAGAACGAACGAGCCGGTTTTTCCTAAGCCCTGTCAGGGGAATATTCTTATTTTCCAAGAGCTCCGCTCTATTTTTCTCCAGTGGCAGAAAACTTTTTAACCATCATTGAATTCGAGGGGCTCTACGGAGTACGGAGTAACCAGCCCATTTTTGTGGGGCGAATGTTGTTATTTCTGCACGATTTCACTATCCATCGCCATCCTTGGATTTTAGCCAGACACTTGCCTCTTCCAAACCGAGGCTTGCTCCCAATGCGTAGGAACAATGTCAGAATTGCTGGTCAGTCTTATCTTTCGTTTAGAAAGACCTGTTGAGGGCGTTAGACCTTTCATAAAAGCTGATGAGTTCCTCTAGGATCCAAACAATGATCCAAATATTGGGTCGTCTCGCGGGGAAAACCAGTCAACTATAGACGTGACACTTGGCTCACTCGGCATGGATACCTCTACCTCTGCCGCAGCTCTGCTGACGACTTTTGTTCCTGCGTTTGTGCTTTTTACCCTTTGGACTGCGGTTTTTATTATCTGTCGACGGAGTCAACAGCGCTTCTATGCCCCCAGATCATACTTGGGCAGTATCCATGAACAGTAAGCATTTTCTTCCTTCCCGGGCTACTACTGCCTTTTTATGACCAACCTCATAACCTGTCCCCAGTGAACGGAGCCCGGAACTACCTTCAGGTTGGGTCAATTGGATCGGTGCCTTCTTCAACCTGTCAGACACCTATGTGCTTCAGCATTCATCTTTGGATGGATACTTTTTCCTACGGTTCCTCCGGCTTATGTCAGTGACATGTTTCGTGGGATGCCTTGTCGTTTGGCCCATTTTGTTTCCTATCCATGCCACCGGGGGAGCGGGAAATACTCAACTTGATGCATTGAGTTTCAGTAATGTGAAAGATCCTAATCGATATTATGCGCATGTTTTTGTCGCTTGGATGTTCTTCAGTGGGTCCCATCCTGTGCCTGGAAAGAAAATTTGATGTAGTGGACTAAGTTGTCACAGGTTTCATATTCTACATGGTTACCCGAGAAAGCATGTTCTATGCTACGCTTCGACAAGCATATTTTCTCTCGCCTCTATATGCTAGCCGTATCTCGTCGAGGACTGTCTTATTCATGGCAGTCCCCCAAACCCTTCTCACCAAGTCTAAGATGGCAAAGGTTTTTGGAAAGTCTATCAGGCGTATCTGGATTACGACAGACTGCAAAAAGCTAGATGAACGAGTCAAAGAGAGGGACGAGTTGGCTTTGAAGCTGGAGAGTCTGGAAACGGACTTGATCAAATCTGCGAATTCCGCAAGATCTAAAGCGATGAAAAAACAGAAAAGGGATGAAGAATGCGTAGTTGATACTGGACCTAACCCTGACGGCATGGCTTGCGATCTTGATTCTATCCCATGGGCGAAGAGAGTAAAACGACCGACTCATCGCCTACGTTATTTCACTGGCGAAAAAGTTGATACCATAGAATGGCTACGGTCCGAGCTTGAAAAGGTGCTTCCTAAAGTCGAGAAGCTGCAGAAGAAACATCGAGATGGAGACGCGAAGTCAATTCCAGCTGTGTTTGTCGAATTCGATTCCCAAGCGGCCGCCCAAACCGCTTATCAAATGCTCTCACACCATCAACCGTTTCAAATGACACCCCGCTATATCGGAATTACGCCGCAGGAAATTATCTGGCCTGCCTTGCAATACAGCTGGTGGCAAAGAATTGTGCGGAAATTCTTGATCCAGGCGGCTATTACTGCCCTGATTATATTCTGGTCGATTCCTTCTGCCTTCGTCGGAATGATATCGAATGTGGCGTATCTGAGCAATCTCCTGCCATTCCTTGGGTTTATTAACGAACTTCCCGAAGTAATTAAGGGCGTTATCAGTGGTTTACTCCCCGCTGTAGGTCTTGCGTTGCTGATGGCATTGGTGCCGATTTTGTTGAGATGTACGTTTATTGTTCACCCCCTTTCCCGACATAAGACGCACCTAACTCTGATTTAACTGTAGTTCTCGCGCGGCAAACTGGACTTCCAACTACTGTTCATGTAGAATTGTTTACGCAGAACGCCCACTTCTGTTTCCAGGTGGTGCAGGTATTTCTTGTTACCACGTTGACCTCCGCAGCTTCAGCCGCAACAAGCCAAATTATCAAGGATCCCATGTCAGCCAAAGATTTACTCGCAAAGAATCTCCCGAAAGCTTCAAATTTCTATATTTCATACTTCCTTCTTCAGGGTCTAGTCCTGAGTGCTGGTGCGGTAGTGCAGGTGCTGGGATTCGTCATTTTCAAGATCTTCGTTGCGTTCTTTGACACCACTCCGCGCAAACTCTACGAACGATGGACATCAATGAATGGGTTGCGCTGGGCTACCGTCTTTCCGGTGTTCACAAACATGGTCGTGATCGGTAAGTGTATTCGAGCGACCTGCGAACCAAACCCCCTATGCATGACCACTATAAGTTTCGCCCATATATCTAATCAATTGTAGCCATTACCTACTCCTGCATCGCACCTCTTATTCTCGGATTCTCCTCGTTCGGCTTATACCTAGTCTACCAAGCCTACCGTTACAACTTGCTTTTCGTGTACGACTCTGATGTCGATACCAAGGGCCTGATCTACCCGCGTGCCCTGCAGCAAGTATTGACAGGTGTATATCTCTCCTCTGTGTGTATGATTGGCCTGTTCGCCATTAAGGGCGCTATAGGGCCAGTGATTATGATGGTCCTCTTCATCATTCTCACGATTCTAGCGCACATATCTCTGAATGATGCATTGCGCCCCCTACTCTCCGCGCTTCCCCGGACCCTCGAGCAAGCTGAAATGCTAGGCGACAACGACGCCCATGACGATGACGATGGGAGTTTTGGTGACCAGGATGACAGTTCAAGCAACTCCCACGACGGCACAACAAGTGAGAAACCACCTGTTAGCCCAGCAAGCGCCAGCAACGAAATCCCCAGCCCAATCTCCGCCTACAAACTAAAGAGCTCAACACAAACAACCATAACCCTCGCCGAGATCACCCGAGCAGGGACTTCGGCTGAAACGCCTGTTTTCCCACATCACAGGCCCAACGCCCTCCACGCCATCCTGCGGAAATTCTCCTACTTCATCCACTCAATCGTAGAGCCCCATATCTACATCGACTACGCGACGCTACGCAAGCGGATCCGGCAGGGTACGCCCGTTGAGTACACGGACGAAGTAGCGGACAATGCATATTACCCGCCGTCGGTGTGGAGTCCGACGCCGCTGCTGTGGGTGCCGCGCGATGCGGGCGGGATTAGCCAGCGTGAAGTGGAGTTGACGAGTCGTGTGATACCGATGACGGATGAGGAGGCTCATTTGGATGAGAGGAATAAGGTGAAGTGGGATCAGGTGAAGAGCCAGCCGCCGATATGGCAGGAGAAGATATTTTACTAAGCTATGAGCAAGGGATATTTACTCGCGGGATAGGAGAATGTGATGACTTTTGAGTTTTTTGCTCTTTTTTGTCCATATATATATTATATACCACGGGATTATGTGATTCGGGGTTCTTGGTTTCTGTTTTAACTGAGCTTATTGGCTCGCTACCCGGGAATTCTTTCTTATTTTTATGTACATAAATAGATATATGCTATTTGTAGTCACTAATGATTTATACTTTATATAGGTCTAAGCTGACGCTGTGCATTCGGCAAGATAACGAAGATGAGTAGGGAAATGCCGTCAAGCGTTAGTCCAAAGCTATCTCCACTGACTACTTGGAAAGTACCCGGTCGACCTGAACCCGCGTCGTTTGGTCATTCTGGGAGTCTGTTGATCCTCAATAAGTTCTCGGAATTAATAATCTGGACTTTGACAAAGCCCGAATCCAAGGCTGCTTACATCCGAAACCCCAGAGTATTAGTTCCCGGCACCTGCGAGATGAAATTACTAATAAAAGATGCGCGAAGCATAATCTACATGTCAAATCTCAGGCAGGCGGAACCCGATGCTGACCTTGATATCGCTTCGGAAAGTTCTGCGATGTATCAGGTTTAAAGATTACCCCGCCTTCACGGGCATCATATAAAGGTCTATTCGAAAGAAGCTGTTCTCTATCACGAACTTCTCTCCCTTAGAACATTAACCTCATCAATACATAGTTACTTATTGCACCTCATCCCATGTGCCCTACCTAATTACTACTACTCTATCCCGCGCATCATCATCATCGGCAGCAGCCACCATCGCCCCGCCATCCAAGCGTCTAGAAACTGCTCAAAATTTCATTGCCAACTTCAACACACTTTCGGGCAGAAAGGTATGAAGTCATCTTGGCAGAAAACTTCGTCCACCAATTCGCGCCAGCGTCACTGAACCCACCTGGCCCTTCGACAAAAAGGGCATACTGGAACACGTTGCCCAACTCCATGCCGTCATGAGCAGCTTCCCATTGACGGTGAAGGAGTACATTGAGAGCGACAGCAGTAACCAAGTCACAGTGTGGGCGAGTAGCCGTGCGATGTTCCGCGACGAGGGGAAGGACGACGGGGTATCTGAGGCGGAGTGGGCATATGGGGGGGAGTATGTGTTTCTGCTGTGGATGGATGAGACGGGGGAAAAGCTTATCAAGTCAGTGGAGTTTCTGGATAGCTAGAGGACGGTGAAGTTGCTGGATTTGATGCAGAGGGCGGCGGCAAACAAGGCGAAGAAGGATGCGTGAGAGTGAGTGGCACTTGTTATTGTTCGTGACTCCAATTGTATGACGAAGGGCTGCCTGATGTACACGCCACCTCAATGACTCAGATGATTTAATGCCTTAAGATCACCGTCTCTTCTTTTGCATTTCCAAGGGTTGATATTGCTGAAGTGACTGTGTTGGAGCCTGAGTAATAATAATTCGGAGTTGTGGTATCACAATACGGTAAATTATACTCTCATAGCCAGCGCCTCGGCTGTATATACGGAATAATGTATTATTACATAATCAGAATTGAGCCTCCATCCAGATATTTTTTACATAACTACTACAAACCACCGACTGCACATAGTCCACTACATTCTGCTCTTTTATTGCTCTATTATATTCTTTTTCCTCTTCCGGTAACTCTTATTCGGGTTATACAGCAGGCATTCCTTTCTTCATAATTTAGCACATAGGCATAATCACCAGAAATCGGGTCCCCGCAGCGAAGTGTCTGCGTGCGGAAATTCTTCCCTTACTCCCAAGTGAATTGAACAACAATCACAGTCACAGTCAATATGGCTAATATATCCGCTAATACTCCACCTACCTCTGCTCCACAACGGGACCAAAATCCAACCCGAGGCAACCGAAGACGAGGTCGTGGCGGCGCGCTTCCGAACCCGCATACAGATGGCCAACAGCGCCGTGGAAGGGGCGGCGGCAGAGGCGGAGGAGGGAGAGGTGCACGGGGCGCACGAGGTGTTGTACCGGACGGAAGAGGGCAGACAAGACCACAAGTAGCAGGACATTCTACGATCCGACCAGGCCAACCCACCGATGGTGACTATGGAGGCGAACCACCCGACTCAGATCCTCGGAGCGGAGGCACCTCCGGTGATCGCCTGACCGGAGATGCCAAACGTGCTGAGGGCGAGGGAGCGGCTGTGACTGCAGCTGCCACGACGGGCGAGGACGCGGATACCGGCGAAGTGTGCTTTATCTGTGCGTCGAACATCGCTCATACTGCCGTCGCCCCTTGTAACCATCGAACATGTCATATTTGTGCTTTGCGATTGAGGGCCTTGTATAAAACTAAGGCGTGCGCACACTGTCGGGTATGTGTTTGAGAGGCCTCTTGTTCTCGGATTTTACAATCAAGTGAGAAACCCTAGGGTTGTCAAGTGTTAACGTGCTGCCTTTTGAGTAGACCGAGTGGCCCTCCGTAATTTTTACCGATGATCCAGTGAAAAAATTCGAGGATTTCAGAGACGGTGATTTCATACGTACAGATGATAACTTGGGAATTAAGTATGAGACGAACGATATTTTCGAAGATACGGTTTTGCTCCTGCGGTATAACTGCCCCGATAGCGAATGTGATGTCGCATGTCTGGGATGGCCGGATCTTCATCGCCATGTAAAGAGTCAGCATCAGAAGGTTATGTGGTACGTACAGACTTTATCCCGCTAAAAATTTAAAATATTCAATTTTCTTCGACCCCTCCGCTAACAGGAAATAGTGATTTATGTACTCGAAATAAGAAGGTGTTTACTCATGAGCACGAGCTCTTCTCAATGACCCAACTTCGGAAACATGAGAGATATGGAGATGATAACCCTGGCGCTGTTGATCAAAGCGGCTTCAAAGGCCACCCAGAATGCGGTTTTTGCCGACAGAGATTCTACGGGGACGATGAACTCTACACGCACTGTCGGGATAAGCACGAGCGATGCCATATATGTGACCGGCGTAATGGAAACCGGCAGCAACAGTATTTCATCAACTATAATTCCCTAGAGGAGCATTTCAACAAGGACCACTTCCTTTGCCTTGACAAGGAGTGCTTGGAGAAGAAGTTTGTAGTCTTCGAGTCACAAATGGATTTAAAAGCTCACCAGCTGGAGTGCCACCCAGCCGGCCTCTCCAAGGATGCAAGAAGAGATGCGAGAACAGTCGATTTATCTAGTTTCGATTACAGAACTCCCTACCAGCCACAGAGAGGCGGGAGAGAGGGGCGAGGTGCAGGAAGAGGGCGTGATCCTAACGCAGAACCTCTCCCTGCATCCAGCGCTCAACCTTTGAGACGAGACGAGTTGGCTTATCAAAGACAAATGGCCATCCAGAGCGCTCAGTCCGTCACGAGCAGGACATTTGGCGGTCAGCTCACGCCGAGCGGTGCCCAGACAGTTCGCGTACCGACTCAATCAACCGCTCCTCCTCCTCCTCCTCCTCCTCCCCCCACTCAAGCAGGTCTTCGTCCTGCTATGGAAAGCCTAAATCTTGGCCGCCCAAGTGCGCCCCCCTCAACTCCTCGAGAACACGCCCTCCAAATTGCACATGGCGCTGTAATGGACCGCGCCGTCTCCCTCCTACGCAACGACCCCCTAAAAGTCTCCGATTTCCGCGATAAAGTATCTTCCTACCGCACCGGTGCCATCAGCGCCGCATACCTAATAGAATCGTTCTTTTCACTCTTCGACACCTCATCCGGCGAACTAGGCAAGCTCATAAAGGAGCTCGCCGAGCTCTACGATGATGAGTCAAAGCGCAGCGCCCTCCTCAAAGCCTGGAACGACTGGCGCGCCATCAATGAAGACTACCCCGCTCTACCCGGGCCCAACGGAGTACTATCAAGTACCGGTGCAAGTGCCAGCGGCGGTGGAAAGCGCGTGCTACGCCTAAAATCATCGACGGCACAATCTTCGCGCTCAGCGGTTGGACGCAGCGGAGGTCTCGGAGGAATATCAAACGGTAGCAGCAGCAACCCATTCCCGCCCCTTGGTGGACCTCCTGGCGGCAGGAAAGCACGCCCATCAGCGTCACCCTGGTCAACAGTGACACCCCCGTCACGTTCGGGAGGGAGTTCGCCAGCCCCTTCCCGCCCTTCTCCATCAGCGGGTCCCAAAACCGCAGCGATTGCAGCTCCCATCGCACGAGGCGCTAATGCGGACGCCTTTCCGGCGCTACCTGCTGCACCGAAGCCCAACACGCTCATGGCCGGTCTGACGCGCGGCACGGTGCGGTGGGGAGCACCATCGGCCGCTACGGGCCCATCGCCGTGGGGGAGGGGAGGGGTTAATCCTACACCCGCAGAGGCTGGGAACGAAGGAGAAGCAGGGGATGGCGGCGAAGGAGGGGGCAAGAAGGGGAAAGGGAAAAAAGGGAAGCAGGTGTTGTATCATTTTGGGTAGGAGAATGGGCAAGGTTGACGTGTAGCTGTGTGAGACGCCTGGGTCAATCAAATATTTTCACCGTTGACCACTTGCAAATTATTTTTCTGTTGCTACGAAATCCATTTGGGACGTGAGAGTGTATTTAACTCTAGTCGTCTGTCAGATTTATGCTATTTCACAATTTTCGAGGAAATCCTTGCTCGATGCCGTCCTTTGGCGGAGGAAATGCCAATGCCCATCCCTTGGTACTGTCCCTGTGGACCTGTGGTACTAGCTCCATGGGAAGTCTTGACTCTGCTACACCTGAATCCCTTGATTTTTACATACATCGCTATACTTGTGAGCTATATACAAGTTAAATATGTCTAGAGCACTACTCACCAGGCCATATAACTCATCAAGGTCGAAATTATTTGAGCTCGGTATTGAAAGCTTCGGCTAAATTCCAAGTGTACACTCAAGTGTCGAACAGCCGCCTCTACACCTCCATACTGCGGTGCGGTTCGAAGTTCACCCCTACTCGAGGAAGCTCAGGAGATTTTCATTTGGTCATTTCAGGCTATTTTTCCGGGAAGCTGCTGCGTAGTTACATACATGCAATCTAAAATATTTGTCGCCATACATGCTATATGATGATTATCAGAGAAATGCACAGATAAGTGAACATAAATTGGTAAGATGTAAGTATAGTGCATACTCTTTGTGAATTCAAATTAACAACCGATAATTGGGGGAAAGGTTCGTCAATACCTGATTACTGCACAATATATCTATCGAGGCTAATACGTGAAAATAGCATCCTATAAAGATACGCGCGTGGCCACATCATTAAAACTCGAGGGGAGTTCCATCCTCTTCAAACAGAAATTTTTGCGGATTTTTCAAAGCCGATGCTTCTGATTTCTCAGAGGCAACAGTCTAACATTCCACTACGGATGATGACCACGGAATTGATGGGGACTTCTCGGACTTCTCCAACTGCGAGGAAGGAGCGGAGAGGTGGGCGGATGGTGCTGTAAGATTTGTCATGGGCTCGGATTCTGTAGTAGGAACCGGCCCGGGATCAAGGTCAAGAGATACTGACGGCTGGATATCCCGACTTTCATCCACATCCATCTCGTCGTCGTCTGCTGTGTCGACTTCTGCATCAAGTGCCACCATTCGCAAAGTGAACTCTTGCTGCAATTTCTTCAGCCAGGTTCGGAGAGCCTCACCTTCCAACACGCCTTCTCGAGCTTGCAATAGCTGCTCTTTAAGGTCCAGAATGAGCTTTCTCCGCTTCGCAATAGCGAGAGTTTTCGAGCGTTTCCGTTGATTCTCGATCTTCAAACTCAGTGCTTCCGAAACTTCTTGAGCCTTACGCAGCATGGGTTGCGGGAACGGGAGAAGTCTGGCGAGGAAGAGACCATAGTGTTTGTCCTTGACGAATCCGTCCGCAATTTTATAGAGCATTGTCATTTTCGAAGTAGAGGGTGACATGTCGACGGCAAGGTGTAGATTGACAACGCCGTTCCTCTCTGCCATAATCTTGGCCAGGTCATGGAAATGGGTCGTGAACCAGACCAGTGCGTGACTTTCGATAAGCGCTTCAGCGATTGCGATAGCAATGGCGAGACCGTCAGTGGTGCTGGTACCGCGACCGAGCTCGTCGATAATTACCATGCTCTTTGGTTCTATATTGCGAAGAATAAAAGACATTTCACGCATCTCGGCAGAAAAGGTAGAAACGTTGGCCTCGACATTGTCGTCTGTCGACACTCGTGCGAATAACTGATGGACTATTGGGAACGACGCATATTGCGCAGGAACAAAGCAGCCGATCTGCGCCATTACAGTCATCAAGGCGAGGGATCTGATGTACGTGCTTTTGCCGCTCATGTTGCATCCCGTGACAATTTGAAACCGCGATTGCTGAGTGGCGTATGCATCATTCGGCACGTACTTGTCCGTATGAATCTTTTCTCGAATCGGGTGCCTGCCAGCTTTGATTGCTAAGGTATCCGTGAGTTCTGGCCGCACATAGTTTTGCATGGTTACAAGATGTGCGAAGTCTGCAAGCATGTCCAACAAGGCGATGCTTTCGCTTACACGGAAGAGCCCAGCTATGTGCGACCGAATATCTTCTATCAATTCTTGAATGCTTCGATCGCTCATATTAATCACCTCGTTATGAGCATCAGTGATTTTTCTATTTAACTTAACAAGATCCAGGGTTTGGAACTCGATATATGTTTTCTTCTTGAATATATTGATGAAAATGTCGGGTAGTGGGGTGTTGTCCAGAGCCGATACTAATAATCGGAAATAATAGTGTCGACCGGTTTCGAACCTCAGGTCAAAAGCCAGGTCGTATTCATCTAAAATTGAATTAGGGCTCGGTCACAAGAATTTGGGTATTTGGGGGAGCATACCTCCTAGCTGCGCCGCCAACGCAACTACGTCGTCATTTGCCTCCTTGTATGTCTGTCTTGCAACGTCGAGAAGGCTGTTAATTCCAGCCTGCAGAATTAGTATATGCTCTTTGAACTGGTTTAAAGGAGACTACTCACTTTCACTGCATATGTGCGCTGGTTTCGTAGGTCTAACGGCCGCGATTGATAAGTAACATCTTCGTTCAGCGTGGCGTTGATCATGTCTACGATCGTGTCGTACTCTTGGGGTGCACACAGCTAATTCAGGTCAACTGAGGCAATTCAAACAGCATTGACACAATGGAACGGACATTGCGGATTGCTAACAAAAGCGTGCTTTGTGCACCTGATAAAGCTTGGTATATAGGCTTAATCGCGTTAACATAGGTTTTGAGCATGATGACGTTATTGATTGATTGTTCGGCATGCTGAAAGGTCACTTTTGTCGGTACAACAATGAGCTAACATCCAGTTAGTTTCGAGAGGGAAAAAAAGAAGTATAACAGCAGTAACTAACAGAGGTGAGGACTTTGTCTGAATCAACGAATGACTTGAGAGCTAAAAGCGAGATATTAGCATTGTACACCTTCGAGAACACTAGAGCACAAACCCTGCCGAACAGAGTAAAACATTTCCTCCTTTGTGCTCAGTTCCTCGACAGCTTCATATCTAGCTGAAAGCTTGGCCTGTTCTGTCGATGGTTGCAGAACGTTACTGCGAAGGAGCCTAGAGCCCATTGGGGTCAGAGTCTCATTGAGCACTCCGAAAAGGCAATCCCGAGACTTGGAATTCTGAAGATTTTGGATCAATTCTAGGGAAATGATTGTAGATAGATCAATTAACATGGATCCTTCAGACGGCTCATATTTGATACGGAGAGAATGGTGAGAAAATGTCTTGGAGAGCTCCGTCTCAATATAGGTGAGCGCCTAGAAAGTGTCATGTCAGAGCAGGTCAGGGCAAACAGCAGTGAGTCAGATTAATCAGTCACTGTTGAGCACGTCAAACATACCGCAGCAAGGCAGCATGTCGCGAAATAGTTGCCTTCGAGAGACATCTTGATAGACTCAAGATCTTCTCTAAAGGCAAGCTGCTCGACATACTCATGGCCAGTTCTTTCAGCCCACATTCGTCTATCAACGGAACTAACGGTTAAATGAGGTAGGTTCTCCTCCACAATGGAGTAAAGCTTTGACCGCGGTTCTTTAGCAGTTTTCATGAAGAGGACTTCCGTTGGATCAAACACGGCCAGTTTATGAATGGTCCGGGCATAGGTTTGGCTGTCACATATTTGGCAAAAGACGGCCTCTGCAGTGGAGACGTTCACAAATGCCAGGCCAACACTCGGGGATATTCCACGGGATTCACTAATGGCACAGATAATCTCCTGAGACGCAACACTGGTTCCTGCTGTTGTTGGTCTCACTGTCCGGGGGTATCCAGAGCTTGATTGGGCTGTTGTAGGCCGTCGAGTGGTGGCATTGCTGTAACTGGGGAAATATGAAGGATTGGTAGAGAACCGTGCTGAGGGCATCTTCAACAAATTAACACCCAGAGAGGGTTTAATGGCTGAACGCAGTTTACAAGCTCATAACATAAAAAGCTCAAGCCTCGCCAGTAGCCATTGCGATTCTATCGCAATTTGTACTACTATGCGTATACACGATGAAATCATCTTATGTTGTAAAGCAGAGGAGTTGTCGGAGTTGATATAAGGGGGAAAGTTATACGCTATGCCGCTTTCATATTAGTTCACTTGGTTATCAGTGCTTACTCATCTATCAAAATTATCTCAAAAGGCCCAGCTCTCAAAATAATTTCTTCGGGGTGTTCAAGTTCCACAGCGAGGATATCAGCAATACCTAACATCCTGTACTATGGCGACAGTACTCCCTCCTCCTAGCAAGCGGCAAAAGCGGGAAATTGCGGAAAAAGCACAGCAACAGCAGGAAATCCAAACAATCCCGACAGACCTAGGCAGTATACGAGTGCAATTTTTCGACCAGACTACAGGGAAAGCTACCGGCCCTCCAGTGTCTATTCCTATTGCAGATGGATCGGTTAAAAACCTTGAAACACTCGTAAACGCGCTACAAGGCAATGTAGGTACGCTCATGCCCCAGGAGATGCGAATTACAAAAGAAATGAGACTTGAACTAAACGTATCTTATCAAACAGGATGACAATGAAAAAGTCCCTTACCGATTTGCATATAAGCCAGAAGACGAAAATGGAGAAGCCGTCGACATACTCTCAGATCTGTATCATTCACTCCTCAAACCGGGGCTGAAAACATCTGAAGATACCGTTCACCTCTACTATACCCCGCAGGCTGTTTTCCGAGTAAAAGCCGTATCGAGGTGTTCCGCGGCGATATCAGGGCACGGAGAGGCAATCCTAGCGACTGCATTCTCCCCAGCTTCGTCATCACTCATGGTCACTGGAAGCGGAGACTCAACAGCTCGGATATGGGATTGCGATACAGGAACTCCATTGCACACCTTGAAGGGCCACAAGAGCTGGGTTCTTGCCGTGAGTTGGTCGCCGAACGAGCAGATGATAGCGACGGGGAGCATGGATAACACCGTTCGACTATGGAATCCAAAAACAGGCGAAGCTCTTGGTGGACCGCTGAAGGGGCATACGAAATGGATCATGAGTCTGGCGTGGGAGCCGTACCATTTGCAAAAGCCAGGGCTTCCAAGATTAGCATCCGCGTCGAAAGACAGCACCGTGAGGATATGGGACGTGGTGTCAAAGCGTATTGACACAGTACTCACAGGGCACAAGGGGTCCGTTACTTGTGTCCGATGGGGCGGGACGGGGCGCGTATACACCTCGTCCCACGACAAAACTATCAAAATCTGGAATCCGGTAGATGGCAGCTTGCTCCAAACTCTCTCCTCGCATTCCCATCGCGTGAACCATCTAGCATTATCGACCGACTTTGTCCTCCGAACTTCCTTTTTCGAGCACAACGAAAATGTCCCCGAGACGGAAGAGGGTAAAGTTGAAACCGCAAAGCGCCGGTTCGAAAAAGCAGCAACAATCAATAATAAAATCATTGAACGACTCGTCTCTGCCAGTGATGATTTTACAATGTTCCTGTGGGACCCTGCCTCGTCGAATAAGCCCGTTGCGCGCCTGTTGGGACACCAGAAAGAAGTAAACCATGTCACATTTTCTCCAGATGGAGCTTATATTGCCTCTGCAAGCTTCGATAACCATGTTAAGCTATGGAATGCTCGAGATGGAAAGTAGGTTCAGCAATCTTGTTCATTTTAAACCTCTCCCACACAAACCAACGCTAGCACTATAGTGTTTATTTAATATTTTATCTAACCAACCAACAACGACAGATTCATATCCTCACTTCGCGGACACGTAGGAGCTGTATATCAGTGCTGCTTCTCAGCTGATTCGCGCCTCCTTGTTTCGTCTTCCAAAGATACTACGCTGAAGGTCTGGGATGTGCGGACCGGGAAGCTGTTCATGGATCTACCAGGTCATTTAGATGAAGTTTATGCTGTTGATTGGAGCCCTGATGGAGAGAAGGTGGGCAGTGGTGGGAGGGATAAGGCTGTTCGTATCTGGAGGCATTGAATTATATATCTCCTGGTACATATGTCGAGGTTTATAGACCCTTGTTAGGGTCATTGAAGGGCGAAGCAGTTGGTGTTGCGCATTTGAATTTTGATGGAGGAATTAAAAAAAAAGGGATACCTGGGGTACATACATAGAAATGAATGTGAGTCGAGGGCTTCAACTCGACGATATAATGCATATTTTGACAGGAACAGAGCGGAGCTGCCAGAGCAAATTAACCCAATGCAAATAACCAGCATCCCTCTAGCCCACCCCAAAGGCCGCAACAAGGGCCGCAAGTAACATCACCCCCAACGCCCACACCTCATACACTTGAGACTCCGTTTTCCCAGCAACACCACTCACCTTAGCCTGAACATTCTCCTCAAAAAACTTTCCCCCTATAATATTCCCCACCGGAAAATACTGGCACACAACATACCAACCATACGCATCATCATCCTTCCCACGATCCGCATAATCCCCACAATAGAACCTCGCACACCCAACCGTCCTGGTTCCCTTCCAGACAAGCTGCGAAAAATGGCCCGTCTCATGCGTGAAGCTGTGTCTATTGAAGTTGAAAAGAGCTCGTTCATCACCCCACGCCTGGACGGGGGTGGTGACGTTTGCATAGCCCATGGCGAGGTTTTCACCACTGGTCTGCGTGTCGGGGTTTGTTAGTGAGGTTCACAATACTTGTAGCTGTATATTTATGCAGAGTATATTTGGATATATACATAAATGCCAAAATTTAATATATGGCAAGGGCTGTGTATCTTATTATATTTATCTCAAAAATATATACATACAGAATGGGCCCAGCGGCATTGACGTGCCCAACGCCGCGAGCTAGATTCGAGAGTCAAGTTCCATGTGAGAGCTGTGGCGTTATGATCCCATCTGTATTTATTTGTGACGGCGAGGATAGTGTTTTGGAATACTCTGTCGGGAGCATATGAGGGCGGGATGGTGGGTGATGTTTTGGGTGGTGTGGGTAATAGGCCTGGGCCAGGGACAGTTACCGTAACCGTTAATATGACCAGGCCAGGGATTGCATAGGTATATGAAAAAGATAGGAGAAAGAGGACGATGCTGGCGACGTGGGATGGCTTTGGCATATTGGGGGGAGGAAGGGGTCGAGGAGGATATTATTAGAGTGATGGAGGCATAGTTTTGCATAAATCATGAAGGAAGACGAGAAGATGAAACGAGAGGTTTAGGGCATGCCAGGGAAAGTAATATGGACGATAATAAATGCTATATACGAATGGATATATATTATGTAGAGACGCTCAAGTGAAACAAAATAAAAAATATCAGATAAGCATGAAAGTATATAGTTGGACAGGCCAAGAAAGAACACACTTTTCTTGCCCGGCTTTCTCACTGGTTGGAGAAAAAAAAAAAAAAAAAAGCACTGTATATAATGATAGAAGGAGATATATAAAAGGTATTCATACAAACCTTCATATTTCGGATTCAACAGCACTATCACTGTTCAAGGAGCTCTGAGCTCATGGGAGGCCACAGATGCGACTGACAACACAAACTTCTAGCGGGAACTACCATGATCCAAGAGATTCAAACACTTGGAGGGAACATGAAGCGTGCCCCATCGGCAGTTAGTACCAGGGCCTGGGTCATGTCATTTTTTGACTGGCCATCAAGTTTGGCGTGAAACAGTATCAAGTCTGCTGGCGCTTGCAGGAAACATCGACTGGCGTGCCAAGCTTTCCTACCCTTTGTTCGCTTAATTATATAAGCGGCAAGGTGAAGACTTGGCATCTGTTGGTTTGACCCGGGAGGGAAGAGAGCAATATTGCGAGCAGCGGAAGAAGATGTAGAGGATTAGATGACAGAGTATGAACAGTAAGGCCATATTCCGCTGTGCGCCGTATCCAACTAGACATTCGTGTATCAAAAGGCGGGATCGCTTCACCTCAGCTGGAGCGTAGTAGATTGGAGACATTGTGTCGTGACTGAAATCAAACACCACACCAGAGTTCGTAGAAGAAAACGCCCCATTCACATCACAGAGCATCCAATGCCGAACATGGCTCTTTCCACGCTCTTCTTAACCTGATACCAATCCGCGCGCCTAGTGGCAAATTCATAGACCTCTTCGGCGCGAAAAATGCCGTGAAACCGATCGCCATCGGCGATGATCGTAGCCATCTCCTTAGAATCAGACGGGTCAATAAGGTAAACCTGCGACAATTCCCTGAGAGCAATAAAGTATTGGAGTAGCTGGTCATTTTTCATCGTTTTTATGAGGTTGAAGTAATGGTTCATATCGCTATTTTGCAGGTTATGGAGTAAGCAATCAATATCGTAATGGATGTAAAAAATCGCACGAACCGTTTCACGTTTGAGACAGAAACCATACCTGATAAGTTTAATCGACCCTTCGACCGTAACACGCTGCATTTTCAGGTGCTTGCACAGCGACGCAAAAAGCCGCAAGCCAATCTCCTGATTAAAGACCTCAAGGGTACTCTTATCAGTGCTCCCTATGAGCATTCGAGTATGTGCAGAAATGACATCCACAACCGCTTTCGCCGCTTCACTTGGCCCAACATCAGCCGCATTCCGCCGTGAAAGATCCGCCTCTGGGTTAAAATCAGTCGCAGGCTGCTTCGTCGCCAGCAGGTAATCGACCTCATCCATAAGCACGTCTATGCCCTTGTTAAGACCCGCCGCAACCCGTTCATCCAGCATCTGCTCGAATTTCTTCTTCTCCTTCGCCGCCGGGTCGAGGAAGTCGCTCCGGTCCGTCAGTTTCGCTGCAATTAGCTCTTGTTCGTAGAAGACGTCCATCATCTGGAGAATCAGGTCGCCCACATTGACCAGCTCAAGGAACGTAACCAACGGCTCCACGCCCTTGCCGTCGTGCTTCTCTTCGTATCGGGGTTGATACTGGGAAAGGTGACCGACGGCTTTATCGAAGCCGGCAATGACATGTCGATGGCCAAGGATGTGCAAGAGAGAGACAAAAATGGCCTCGCACTGTAATTTTGCATCTTTCGCGGATTTACCACCCAGTTTCAAGAATTGGGCGGCTCGCTCTAGACTAGCTTTGGCAGCGTGAACCAAGTCGAGGGCTACCTCGATACTGAACAAGGAGCGAATACCTTCGAGTCTCGAGTTCATGATTGCAACTTTGGCAGCAAGTTCTGTTGTGGGAAGGTCATTTGGCGGCGTTGACGGGGTGGAAGGAATCGACACGGGCGTTGCAAACTTAGGGTTCGGAATATAGGTTGGGTCTTGAATTTGAGCATCTTTCTCAGTGTCCTCCGCCTTTGCACCATTTGACATCATAGAAGAGAAATTAGGTAGAATGTTCACAGGCGCCATAAGCACCTTTTTAAAGGAGGTGAGGAAATCTTTCTTATCAGCCTGCCGGTTGACATTGGACATGTAGAAGGATTCCGTGGATGCTGCTTGCTCAGAGAGCTGCCTATCCCATTCTGACACGACGATGTCACAGTGCTTACGGAAATGGTTGAGTTCGTCTGTGAGGTATTGGTCGAGATATGGTTCAAATATGCTTTCCGCAATCCTATCTGCTGCCTCGGCAAAGTCATCGCCAGAACTATTTATGGGCTTCCGTAAATCCCGAGTAAAATGCAAAGTCTGCGCAAACGTTCCCGAAACAGCCCTAAGGTACGATTCAACGTTCCGGGAGCGTAGGTCGGTGAAAAGGGCGGTGAAATAAGGAGACAATACCTCTGTCTCGATCTTGTCTAGAAATAACGTCGATACCTTCGTAGGCGTATGGAAGCAGAGATCTATGATATCCACTTCCTCGTTATATGCCACGCTCAGGCGGGTAAGAAATGCCTGAGAGTGGCTTAACCTCACTGCATTAGTGTCACTATCGACACAATCCGACGGGCTTCCAAAATCGCGCTTCCGCGCGAATAGGTGGTTATGGTCAATGAAATGAGCAATAGCAGCACTGCCGCCATTAAGTGTGGTCAATACACCGGTATATTTCCGCATTTGACCTTCGATATCTCCATGCTCATACCCACTTCTAAACTCCTGCAGCGCGGCCATTTCAAAAAGAGATACGGCACGAAGAACTTTTTCCCTCCTCGACTTCCCTCCAAGGACATTATCGCATTTTGCGAACGCTTGGAGTTGTGACAGCATCTGAGCTTGGTCTTCGGGCGTATGGTACACTTTAAATACTATACTGTCCATCGACCCACCCGTTCTGTCAATATCTCTATAGAATGGGTAGATCGCCGCATGGACCTTGCCGTATTCCTCCCTTGCCCTTCCACGTATAGAGCAAACACGGGAGAGGACAGATAAAGCGGCCTTAGCATTCAAAGCAATAGATTTGTTCGACCCTATTCCCGTAGAGAACTCAACGACTTCAAAGGCGTTCGATTTACCCGTCGTACCATTGGCGATTGCAGTTCCCCCCACGATGTTTCCACCGGGAGGCTTATCAGGTGGGTGGGTTTGAACGTGTATAGTTGGCACAGGCACACTCATCTGTCTATGGAGAACTGGGTTGGACTGTTCCGCCACTTTTCTTGCCTCGACATCATCCCAACAGCCAATCCGTTTCAGTCTTTGTACCCATCTTGAATCCTCGTAGACCATCTCTCTCATTAACCTCGAAGCCCCCGCGACTCTAATCAAGTCGGCCGGTGGAAGGTAATCTAGGATGGAGGATAATATTTCTAAAGCCGGTAAACATCAGCAAAACAGCATTCCCCCCCGGACGTCTAATATATATGAATGGGTGAGTATATAATCTGCCACTCTCCGTACTCACCAGCAGGCAGGGCTGGCTTGGAAATCTCCAGCTGTGCCAGTTTCAACGAGGCGAGGATATCCTTGCCCGGCCTCCCGCCGGAGACCTGGGCCTTTGCAAAACCCGACATCTTGACTCTAGGAGTGCTCTGAGCCCTTGACTCAAAGAACCCCCGGAATCAATGGAGCGGGTTGTTAAGGTAGCGGGGTCAGCGGAGGATTCATTCCTAGCGGACGGTATCTGTATCGCTCAGTGTGGGGAAAGCGGGAAGTTGGGACGCTGAATAGTCGCAAGTATTTATTATTGGATCTTTGCAGATCGGGTTGGATGGCGATACAGCGGCGGAAACCCCATAGTAAAATATTTATCTGCCCCAGGAAGGGATCACCCGTTGAACTCGAAGATATGTGAGGTTGTCAGTGTGAGGGCAAGTTGGCTGAGAGAACAGTTGCATGATTTGTTTTTGCTGTCACCCACCCAACAGCAGCTGACGTCGAGCTAAATATTTAAATAAAGTTAACTATTTTATTATTAAAGTTAACTAACTATTATTTTAATATTTAAGTTATCTTTCCCAAGTCAACATACGATAGGAATCCACTTATGCTCGAATATTTATTTACTTGGAGCTCTAACTACCTCTGCACCCCGTTCTAAGAACTTGCATGATGAGACAAGGCTAGTTCCTACGTTGTATACTGTAACTATATAACTGCGGGATGTCTTGTCCTAAATATAGCGAGTTTCTCTAACTCATTTTCTCTCATTTTTTTTTTTTTTCTCTCTCTGCTAGTACCTCTCTGTATTTCTTCTATGCTAGACTGGAATCCGAAGTCTCCTCTGTTTAGCAAATCAATGCATGGCTGTGTTGGAGCCCGAGTTCTTTCTTTCCGCGCTGGGATGAAGGGGAAGACAATCCAGTCGTTCTCTTCTCCCGCTGAATCCCTTATCCCCTTAACCTCACTCTATCAACCTCCCAGCTACACTGTCAACACGGTCGCCGGGGAGACTCATTTCCACACGTATTGTGTTTTCTAGAACTTATACCTATCGTGGTCCATTCTGCCACTTATCTATCTGCATCAAAAATCACAATGGGATCCCCGGTCAACGGAACAGAGACCATCACTAGGCCTACCTTGCACATCGAGGCCCGCGTCAGGAACGAGGGAAACATCATCGTCCGGACAGATCTCGTGGGTTTCCAATTCTTATTGATCACATCGCTCTCATTTCCTTCGTTTATTAGTTAGTCTAAAACTTGGGAAACTCCTCTTTACGAATAGGTCCGCGATGAAGTTACAAAATGGCTCTTAGAAACCTTCGCCGTTCTAACTCTAGGACAAGAGATAACCTCCTTCTGTGAGACAACGGACTCGACCTGCAAACATCATTATAACTCAAATTGAAACTCCCACAACAGTCGAGACTGACCTGATACTAAAAAACCAAATACAGCTGACCTAACCGATACCCAATGCCAATTCCTGGACGTGGTCAAAGTGATGGAATTCGCAGGCCCGCAGCAAGAGAGCGGCGCATATCGCCTAGAGGATGTCGAGCTGGACGTGCAGGCATACCAGCTACGTGGATGTGAGAGTATGGACGACTCGTCCCAGCAAGCCTATGCTACTGCCAACGGGAAGAGCGATGAGGACGGCCCGCAGGCGCGCATGATAAGTTTGCCAAGTAAAGAGTTGGATGGTGTGTGGGAATCGTAGGTTATCAGTATTACTTGCTATGGTTATTCTGGTTATTGTAACGGATTGATGGCAGTGAGATTAATCAGGAACCACCGCTTTGAACACAGGCTTCTATTTGATGTGTCGATACCCTCCACGCTGCTTCGGGCAGTGAGCAGGATGCGTATGCTGTTCTATTATTGGTATCAGATTGCATGGTGTCCGTCCGTTGGCTAATACGAATAGTTATGTTTGCCACGAGGAAACTCAACATCTGGACAATCAATTGGAACAGGCTTATCCTGCTCTACGGTCCACCGGGAACAGGGAAGACGAGTCTTTGGTAAACATATTCCCAATTCGTGTTATACCTCTATCCCTCTCAGTAAGAAGATTATTAACGCATAGACTCAGCCGTGGATTAGCACAAAAACTATCAATACGCTTGGGCAAACAATTCCCCCAGAGCAAGTTGGTGGAAATCAACGCACACTTGCTAGGGAGTAAATTTTTCGGCGAGAGCGGCAAGCTTGTGGCAAGGATGTTCGATAACATCGAGAACATGCTTGAGGAAGAACCGGATACTTTTGTGTGCGTGTTCATCGATGAGGTGGAGACATTAACGGCCAAACGGGAACAGAGCGTGCATGGGAACGAGCCTTTCGATGCGATGCGGGCTGTGAATGCGCTCCTGACGGCGCTGGATCGACTCAGACACAGGCCTAATGTGGTGGTGCTCTGCACAAGTAACCTGATCACAGCGCTGGTATGGCATTTTTGCTCCTCATTACAACGCAGAGAATGCATTATCGTTTTAACGTACTCCCCTGCCTATGCAAAATGACAGGATTCCGCATTCCTTGACCGAGTCGACATCAAGCAGTACATGCCTAACCCGTCCAGCCGAATAATCTACGAGATATACCGAAGCTGCCTGGAGAACCTCAGTCAATGTGGATTGATACACGGTGCAACCTTCGACGTAATCCGTGTTGAGCAGGACAATCCCGCCACGGAGTTGAAATACGTATCATCGCCGGCAGAAACACTTGTTCTTCCCAGTCATACGGAGATGGTCCTCTGGTACCAGCTGTTTCCTGAATCCATACCGAAACGGCTGGCAGACGTAGCTGATGCGAGTGTTGTAGGTGATCTTTGTGATCTTGACAGGAATTGATGTTGCATTATTTGTTAACAGACATGTTTATCATTAGGGATTGAGTGGCCGTAGCCTACGCAGGCTGCCTGCCCTCTCGTTGGTGCTGCACCTGGACTCTGCAAAGTGTACCATCGAGCAAGCGGTGGGGGCTTTGATACAGGGAGTGGAAGAAGAGAAACGGGCGGTAATTGAGGCAGCAGCAGGAGCGGGAGGGAGATGTGCTGGTAGTGTATCAGTCAACTAGGCAATACTTCCCATATCAAGGATCAACCTACGTTCATAGTAGAAGCAGCAAGCACCAGATAGAGAGAGATAACTGCAGTATTATTATGACCATTTCTCGCGGCTTTCGCCGAGATCCCGTGACCAACCATTTTCCCAGCCAATCAGACCATTTCCGTTGTCACCAGCGCCAAGCCCCATACAGAGCAGAGCTGCGCTAACCCGATGCAGCCAAACAAACCTCGCTCTTTGCAACTTTGCTGAGCTGCAACCCGATCCCGACCTCAACTTCCACTCAATAATCACATATCAGACTCACAACGACGAGCGCTCCCTCTCCTCTTCCCGCCTCAGTACCCCCTCCCTCCCCCCCCACTGGCGGGATTCCACTCTCTGAATTGTAGAAAAATGTTCACCAGATCTGTCGCGCGCAATGTGCCCACCAAGGCCATCTTCGCTCGACAGACTTTCCGCCAAACAACCGCAACAACAACGGTATGCCTATCCACCCGCACAATCAAACATATCCCCCGCTCCAATTGAGCCGTCTAGATCACCGTCATCCTACCAATGGCGCTTTCACGTTGTTGATTGTACCACTGACATCCCGTCTCCCCTAGCGAGCCTCTTCCACATCTTCCGGCGCCCGCCCTGAATCGCCCTTCTACCTGACCCTCGCCGCCTCGGCTGCCACCGCAACCGCCGTCGGTGCCGTGGCATGGTACTATCACTTCTATGGCCAGGAGGCCTTTGCTATGACGCCAGCTGAAGAAGGGTAAGACTTCTCTCCGAGGGATAATTGGGGAGGAATCAAACGACTTACATATACATATCCACATATAATGATGGCCATATATTCTTGATATTATTTTCATCAAATATTGACGTATGTCTTCCCAACAGGTTACATCCGACACCATACCCATGGGAACACACTAAATGGACAAAAACATTCGACCACCAAGCGTAAGTCCACCCATTGACTCCTCTACGGTCCTTCAATTGCGTCCCAGTTAAATTCCCCCACAAAAGGCAAAACAAAGAAAAAAAAATTAATCATGTCAAACGACGGTATACAGACTCCGCCGTGGCTTCCAGGTTTACCGAGAGGTATGCATGGCCTGCCACTCCCTCAGCCGTGTACCATGGCGCGCATTCGTCGGCACCATACACACCGTCGACGAGATGAAAGCCATGGCCGAGGAATACGAGTACGATACCGAACCCAATGATCAGGGCGAAATCGAGAAGCGACCTGGTAAACTGTCTGACTACATCCCCGCACCCTACAAGAACGATGAGGCCGCTCGTGCCGCTAACAATAGCGCTCTACCACCGGATTTGAGTTTGATCGTCAAGGCCCGCCATGGTGGCTGTGATTATATCTTCAACTTGCTCACTGGGTATCCCGATGAGCCACCTGCGGGTGCATCCGTGCAGGAGGGTTTGAGCTTTAACCCTTACTTCCCCGGAACAGGTAAGAGATGTTGATACTGAACCATGCGTTAATGTACATCCTAACCGAAGAAAATTAATATTAGGCATCGCAATGGCCCGCGTCCTCTTCGACGGCTTGGTCGAATATGAAGACGGCACACCCGCCACCACCTCGCAAATGGCCAAGGACGTAACCGAATTCCTAAATTGGGCGGCAGAACCTGAGATGGACGAGCGAAAAAAGATGGGTCTCAAGACCCTCGCCATCACCGCTATGCTTACAGCCATCAGCATCTGGATTAAGAGATACAAATGGGCCCCTATCAAGTCGCGGAAGATCGTGTATAACCCTCCTGTGGGGAGACCGCCTATTGGCAAGCGCTAGTTGCTTGTCTGGGATTTTCGTTCGTTAGTTTCTGGATTTCTGCTCTTTTCCTTTTGTTGTACTTCATTACTCTGTACTTTGTATAGAAGGTGGTAGTGGTAGATGTTGTCGAGTGAGGCAGGGGGGATATGAGGGTGTATGGATGGGGATACCTACTTGTACCAAAACGCTAAACCAGCTCCCGCCCCTTTTTTATTCGTTACAAGAAAAAAAAAATTATCAGGAATGCACATAGAAAGAAAAGAGAGAAATGAAGAGGGAAGGGATACAACCGCATCACCCATCATACAACAAAACACACGAACCAAAACACAAAATATCATTGGAACAGATGGCTTTTCATCTTATATTCATCTTATTATTTATACATACTCATGTTTCTCTTTCTTGTTTCTCTTTTTCACTTTCACTTTCCTCCTACTTCTCCTCTTGTGCTGAACAGGTCCGTTAAAACTATACGCAGACCCCAGTCTTTGCCTTCCTCCCCCCACTCTCTCCCCCCCCCCCCCTTGGCTACCTCATTTCTAGAATGAGAATCTCCATTTCTTTCTTCATCGCCATTTGCCAATCCGCGTTTATCCGTCTACATACCTCGTCTCCCTTACTTTTATATCTTAGCTCTGTTTATCTATTTCACTCCGTTAGGTAACAAAAATATGTCCACTCAGCCAGTCGCCCCCTCCAGCGCACTCTTGCATTTTTTGGCTCATATTTCCTGTGAATGTTTGTATTAATTAATTCTTCGCTGCGGTATTTATCTCCCACGAGGGCCTAGGGGGACGAATGCGATGTGGCACGTTAGGCAAAAGGTGGGCAGATGCAGATAAGTATATATTATATATATATATATATATATATATCCTTGGCTATCAATGGCCGATCTGATATTTAAATGTACGGACCTTTGTGAAACTGAATTGATCCAACAGCTCATCTTACCTCAGCGTGCGAAACGCGAGCTCTAGAGATCCTCCGCTTCTTCTTCTTCTCCAACTTTTCTCGAAGAATAATTTCCTTATTCTATATGCTTCCCCAGCCAAACCACCCTTATATATACATAACTTGATTATATATGAAGGGACCTTAATGAGTGCCTATACCAGACAAAGCTGAACCCAAGAATCGGAGGGTCACCAGATCTTCCCAAAAAACCTCTTTTTTCTATTTTTTCTATTTTTTTTTTTTGTTTTTTCCCCCCTCTTCTTACTCTGGTAGAAGGCCAGACTGTATCCTTTCCTACAACCTCCCACCAATCCTGAACGTCGTTGGAAGTTGATCACTAGATCTCTATCTAACGTTAGACATTCCATGTTTTACAATAACTTCACGATCCTAGGTCCATACCCATCGGGCTATCCGGAGTAAGATAAGCAGTAGATTATTAGGCATGCATGTAATGTACACACAAGGAACCGAGAGTGAACCGGGAAGCTGGCACCTGAGATATTAACATTTAAAGTTGATTGTAATTGATTTACAAAGGTGAGCGTTGGGTGGTTGTCTTGGAGGATAACGTTGTTGTGTTGTGTTCTAACTACGCGAGTTACACTAAATGAATAGGTTGGGGTGGCACGTGACTAGGGTAGGTGTAGTAATCACCAACACCCCCCCTTGCTACACCGTGGCCTATAATAAGCCGCCACCCGGGGCCTCCCCCATCCTCAAATCTTTCAAAAATGCAATAATAATTAATTACATGAATCGGACCCTGATTTCCTCATTAGGAAAGGCGTCCGTACGGCAATAACCGTAAAAATCAAGAAATACACGCAAAATCCATTGATCCGCCGTATCATCATTACCATTCATTCCTTCTTCTCAATTTCCTGAATGCCAACCCTCTTGACAAATTCTTCAAATGCAGGCTTCGCCAGTGGCTTGGTGAGCCCGTCAGCTATGTTCGCTGTAGAACCAACATGTTCCATCATGATTTCCCCTTTTTCAACCAAATCGCGGAGAATATGATATCTAATCTCAATGTGGCGCGACCTTCGCGTTAAGGATTCCCCCTTTGCTAGATCAATTGCTCCCTTATTGTCAACTCGTAGGTGCGAGCATATTTTCGCTTTTCCATCATCCATCAACCCAGCATCATATAACATATCATTCAACCAGATTATCTCACAAGCTGCCTCGCTAGCTGCAATATATTCGGCTTCTGTGGTTGATTTGGCAATAGATGTCTGTCTCTGCGACCGCCATGAGATCGGTGACCTGTTAATCAATATAATGTAGCCGGTAGTCGATTTGTATTGGGGATCCGCCCCCGCCCAGTCCGAATCGCAGTATGCCACAGGACTCAGGCCCACATCACCGATCTCCTTTCTGTATAATATGCCATGGTTTTTCGTCTTCTTGACATAATGTAGGACATGCTTCAACACTGCCCAACATGCCTTGTGCGGACGCGAGTTAAAGCGCGAGAGATAGTTGACCGCGAACACCAGGTCTGGCCGGCTGCTTGAGACCAAATATTGCAATGATCCCAATCCTTGATGATATCTTGTAGCTGTAAAGTCGTCATCCAATCCACCATCCTCATCAGGTGAAAATTCCAGTCGTATGCCCGCCACCATTGGGGTCCCCGCAGGGTTGACCTTATCCATTCCAAAATCTTCCAATATTTCTTCAACATAACGGCTCTGTGTAACCGCTAGATTTCCATCTTGGTATTTGACCTCCATTCCCAGGTAAGGTTTATCCTGTTCGACTTCTTTTGTCTCAAACCTTTTCCTGATTTCCATCAAAATCCACTCAATTTCACTCTCTTCAGGCCCTGTGATTCGACAGTCATTGACATGTAGTGTCAAGAATAACTTGCGAATTGGATGATAAAGGAATTCACTGTTGTAAGATGAGATCTTGAATCCTAGATTCATCAAGTGTTCTGTTGCAAGGAAATACCATGTCCTTGCTGCCTGTTTCATTCTGTATAAGCTCTGATGTACAAGCTTCCCAAAACTCATAAGATTCACCTCCAGCTTGGGAATGTAGTGGACATCCTGCAGCAGCAGATTCACTCCTTCAACTGGTATATCCACCTTCCCTATAGCTGTTGCGGGAGCTGTCGATCCGTCAGCCATCTTCAATATGACATTAACCTTCTGCGGCACTATCAATATGAGATCCTTGTAAGGTGTAGCATGGGCACTGGATTCAGAGTCCAGAACCCAGGTATCTTTGCCAGTTTGACCAGTAGAATAGACTGTTTCTGTTGTATGAAATACTTGCTCAATGACATTATGAACTGGCGCTGGGCCTGTTTCATCCTTATCCTTATCCTTACCGCGGCTAGTAGGGCGTTTTTCAGGAAATTTCAACCAGCAATCTGTTTGAATGTGGCCAATCTTCTGACAATGGTAACATGTTTTGGTAGCATTATTACCCTTCCTATCCGGCTTGGTGGAATCTTTGTCCTTGTCCTCAGAGACCTTCTCTTTCTCCTTATCCTTTTTATCCTTTCTGTTGGAATCTTGAGCATTATTTGCAGGGGTCTTTCCATCGGAGGTGGGAGGTTCGCCAGTAGCTGGCAATCGTAGGAGAATATCTTGACACAATTCCATGAAATCATCTTCAAGTGTTCTAGTGTTCTCATCCTTCTCTATTGCATCCATTCGATTCTTTATAAAAGATGACCAACCTTTACTAACCCCTGTAAGAAGTCTGTCGAAAAACATGAAATCTTCAACATTATATCCCAATCGGATATAATCAGTCCTGATTGCGATTAAACGTTCGATAAATGTGTGATCAGAACCCTTTGATTTTGATGTCATCTCAATCAATTCTTGGAACAGGCGAGTTCTGCGGACAGCAGGCCTCTCAGCGAAATTATCCTCTATGACAGACCATAGAGAATAAGCAGATAGTTGGGACTCCTTGGGTATAATAAAGTGAGATTTGGCCTGCGGGGTGATTGCAGACCACATGTAGTTGTATAGCCAGATATTCTGTTCTGACCAAAAACGTTGCATATCCATGCTGGCATCCTCGTCAGGATTAATCTGCTTGTCATTAAGAATGTCATCCGTTTCAGATTGCCTTGCTGTGAGCAGAATCTCTTCTTTCCACATAGGATAATTTGCAGAGCCAGTGAGTACAACAGACTTCTTTATAGGCCTTACTTGATCCCTGAATTCATTAAGGATCTTCACCAATGCAGATGTCCTACCCTTCTGTTGAAGATAGTTCACCAAATCTGCACTGAGCTCTTCATTTTCACTCCTGCCTGCCTTCATTCGCTCGACTTCATGCTGGAGTCTTGCAATTTCTAGTCTCATGCGAGTCTCCTCACTCACAGAGCTATTGTCATTCCGGCCACTTGGGCCCCCCGCATTGTCTGACATCTCACTGATGCCTTCAACTGGGTCTTCGTATTCGTTGTTGGACTCGTCAGACCGTTCTTCCACGATCATGTCGTCCGGCTCAAATGCCCCAGGAGCCGCCTTCCGATTCGTTATTGGCGTTGGCAGTGATCTGTGATCTTGTGTTTGCTGCTCTGGCGTTTTCTCGTTTCTCTGTCTTGGAGGCACATATTCTTTTGTTAAGTCAGGCGTCCCCCCGGATCTTAGATTAACCATGGGTTCAATCACTCAATAAATCATCTAGGCACGCTTGTAACGACGCGTGGAGATGTCAATTGGCACGTTATTTCAGCGGTTTTCGTTAGCTTAATGAGGGCTTCATAACCTCTTGGAGGATAACGTTGTTGTGTTGTGTTCTAACTACGCGAGTTACACTAAATGAATAGGTTGGGGTGGCACGTGACTAGGGTAGGTGTAGTAATCACCAACAGGTTGATTACGTTAGTTACATGTAATGTACAAGTAAAATTTAAGCGGTTCGGTATCAATGAGGATAGGTAGGAGTTCCATTTTATTTTATTTTACTTTATTAAATAAGAGCGTTGATTTGTAGGGCCCGAAGTTGAGACCGGCCAAGGAACATGCCCTTGTCCACGAAATAAATAACACCGTTGTATTAAAGAAGGACATGGCGGA